AAAAACCAACCGACCTCCCCAGCCAAAAATAGCACGCCACGCTGCAGCGTCATCGTCTGTGTCATCGCGCGTCATTATCGATCCGCTGCTGGACGGGTGGGGGAAAGCGGCAGCGTTTTGTTGGGGCTAAATTAAGTGGCCTGATCCCCCCCCCCCCCCTGGTCACACCGACTACACCAACATGGAATGCCTTGCCTTGCGTTGAAGCGACACAACCGGAGCTATATAACACAGCTGTCAACCCATACGGTTTACCCCGAAATTCTTGTACAGGGGAATTTAGTTTTGAGGTCCATACGTCGTACAGCCGTTTCAATACGGGCAAAAAAACATGTCTATGTGTTTGTGTTTCTTCTCCCTTGTGATGGGACTTTGTAGGATGAACGTTGAGATTTATATGGGGCACGGGGTGACCGATAAGCTCTGAATTGGTCTGTAATAAGGCAGGGCACCGATACAGAGTTTGACAGGTTTGATATAACATAAATCGCTTTTCGTCTTTACATCCGGTTGCGGGGAAACCTTAAATTACCGAGGGCCAATTAGGACTTTTAAATACCTTTGGCAGGCAACCACTCCTTGACACGCACACAACTCCTCGGCGTTCCCCACCAACAATGCGAGCACTAATCGGCGCTCACGTTCACCGCACTAATTGGTTGGCTGCGCCTGCTTTCCTCTCACGGCCACGGCGATGTCGAGTCACAGTTCCGGAGTTAGACGTGCGGTTATAACGCTCGCACTGATGTAGAGATGTTAACTCCCTCGCCTGGTATACAGGAGGCCGTGGGTTCGATCCCGACCATGACGCCTGCTGTATATTTGGAGTTTGCGTGTCTCTCTCTGCCCGTAGAGATGTTAACTACCTCGCCTGGTATACAGGAGGTCGTGGGTTCGATCCCGACCATGACGCCTGCTGTATATTTGAGTTTGTGTCTCTCTCTGCCCGTGGTCGCGTGGATTCTTCTCCGGGTCCTACGGTTTCCCCCCCTCCACATTTGGGATGAACATCACGCGTTTAGAGTATTTGGCTGCCAGAAATGTCCACGTGACAAGCCACTTTGCTAAGCTATCATTTGTTGCCAGGTCGCTTTTGATAAAGAGCTATTCTAGTGGGCCTTACCTGGTAAAATTAAAATAGTTAGTTTTAGTTTATTATTGTTTGTGGGCCGTTTGGAAGTGGTAGGCTTCAGGTGACCGCCGGCCTCATAAAGTGAAGTTCGTGGGCCATGTGAAGCGAAGTCAGGGGCCGTGTGAAGTGAAGTAGCGTGCCATGTGAAGTGAAGTCAGGGGTCGGATGAAGTGAAGTCGTGGACCGTGTGAAGTTAAGTCATGGGCCATGTGAAGTGAAGTCGTGGGCCGTGCGAAGTGAAGTCGTGGGTCCATATGCAATCCACAGACGTGGTACTCCCTCTCCCGTGCTTCACCTTGCCTCCCGCACCAGGTCACGCCGTACGTATTAAGTGGCCAGCAAAGTGGCTGTTAAAATACATTTTCTTGCTTCGTAGAAACGTCACCGCGAGGGTATTTTTTTTTCATTTGACAGCGACGGTGGCCCTTGTTTTGGTTCTCTCCACGAGTCTCGGATTACGCCCGAAGCTCAAGCGTCATCGCGAAGGTCGTCAGGTGGTGTAATTATTATTAAATTCCACAAATAGTTTATCTACGTATCCGCTTAAGGCAGCACTGTACGCGGAACCCCTCGCGTCGTGGTGATTCTCCGGGGTTCTTTTGGTGACCCCGAGGGATCGGGAATGCGCCGATGCCAAATCAGCGTTTGTCGATATTTTCCTTTCAATATCCCTAGGTTTTGTTCGTTCGATCTGCTATATTCACTTGCTCATACGCACCATTGTGACGCGACGGCGCTTTTTATCATCCGCCGCCGCATGGAAGCCTCGCCGTGCCGCGTCGGTTGTGGTCGTTTTGCGTGACCATGCATCACCACGCTGCTCAGTGAGAGTTGGTCAGGTGGTGGTGGTGGGGGGTGGGGGTGTGGGGGGGGCAATAAGAATCGATTCTAATAAAACTTAACTTTAAAACAAAATATTTTTACTAGGCAAGGCCCACCGAGCCATATAGCTCTTTTTTAGACGCAACCTGGCCACAAACGCGTGACGTTGATTCTAAATGTGGAGGGGGAAACCGGATGACCCGGAGATAAATCCAGCCGTTAGGGTCGGGGCCGAACCCGCGACCTTCTGTGTAACAGGCGAGGTAGTTAACACCTCTCCACTGCGGCGCCCAGATATCACTCGCCCTGAAATCGAACTTGGGGTTCCTCATCTGTGGCCACTCGCACCTCTCTCTCTGTCGGTCTGTGCGAGCGGGCGAATGCTCTGTGGCGTGTCGCGAGAAGTCTCATTCGGTATGGAGGCGGTGTTATCCAGGAATTCCGCACGGTTTTTATGTTTTATGATCAGGGCTCGCAGAGGGGGGGGGCGAAAAAAACCACGGTGCCAAATGATGTTTTCGCCTAATCGGTTTGACATTCACCGTGTTTATCATTGTATTAATTTCCCTTTGCGCCAAGTGAAGTTAGCGAGGACGTCTGGCTCTCGGTGAAATTCCAAGCGTGTGCGGCTCCACGCTTCTTTGCTCAATTTTCGGCGTTTTTATTTTGCTTCTCCAATTTTACGTCAGTGGCTGAGAGACGGACGCGTGGACGCGGTGGGGCATTTGTTTAGAACTGCCTCTTGTGTTTGGTGTGTTGCCCTTTCACCCCACCTGCGATTGGTTGGCTATGTTACGGTGTGCGGTAGAAGTTCAACATACATACTACACTATACACTACACACACTACGCCACGCACTGCATTCTACACTAAAATACACTGCACTATGCACTACACCACTTTACACTACACCACTATCCTAAACAGAAAATACATTTCTTTAGAACTGCTTTTTGTATTTAGTTTGTCATCCATCCTTCCCACACCACCGATTCATTATCACGGCTGGTTACGTGCGGCGCAAAAGAAGTTCAACATACGTACACGTGCGTACGCGCAATCCCGAGACGTCACTTTGACCTTCCACAAAAGCGGGTTTGGGCCGCACACGTCACTGGCAAGGCACAATGAAACGGCGGTCGAGGCTAACGACGTCGTCTGGAGCCAGGGGAGGGAACGCGTCCGAGAGAGAGAGCACGCTCACCGCGGAGATGGAGCTATAGAATAACCTCGTGTGCACGTGCCGGGTGGATTGTTACAACGTAGTTACCGTGGGCGGTGGATTAATGCAGCCTTCATCCAGCAGTGGATTGACCATGGCTGATGATGGTGATAAACGTCGTCGTCGTGATGACAATGTAACATCGCCCTACATTACAAGAATTCCGTTAAACGTACTCGCTTTTTGGTCAAACCACTGCTGGCCGAGACTCGGGACGGGTTTTCACCGACGGAAAGATAAAGAGAGCCCAGTGAGTACACAAAAAGTGGAGCACCAACATTCCGTCTGCCCATGAAGTTTCGTTCGGGCTCCAGCCCTGTTACACGCACGCACGCACACACCGGTCACGCATCGCTGGGCTGCCAAGTTAAACACCGTCCACCTGGGCTACGCGTGGACTGCTGCGGGCAGCATCTAGAGCCGCGAAGCTGCGGGTGAATTCTGGGGTGTTGAGTGGGGGGAGGAGGTGTCAATGCACTGGGAGCAGAGGTCAGTCTTAGCCATTGTCTCCTATCCGGGTGTGACCCGGTACGCTCCGGGTGTTGGCGTCATTCGCGTTCGGGGTGGCAGCAGGAATTTATGTACTGCACGAGACCTGCTCGAGGTTTTTCTTCTGTTGAAATTTATTGCACGATTACTGCCGCACGAGGTTTCACGAGAAGAGGTCATCGAGCGCGGAGAAATCCGCCCGGGGTTTGGTCCACAGTGGGAAAGGTGGCCGGCCCGAGGTCGCTCACGAGTGTATCCCTGTGTACGTCTGTATGTTGAACTTCTTTCGCACCGTACGTAGCCAACCGTGCTCATCGGAGAGACGGCTATGTGAAGGAGAACGCGCCGTCTGATAAGGTGTGGGGGGGGAGGGGGTAGCTGAGCGAGGCTAGAACAACCAACGCCTATTAACCACGGGTTTCTGCGACGATTTCCAAAAAGAGGATTGCATACTCGCAAAATACAGCGTTTAATTAGTGACCTTCCCTACCGCTGATGTTACGCGCCATTGGACGGAAAGTCTAACTTATTGTCACCGGTTAAAAAAAAAAATCACCATGTATTGCGTTCTCTAGCATAGGTCTCTACTGGAGTATCAACACAACTTTGAACTCGTATTTAATTTCACAGTCCATCAACTGTGCGACAGTTTATCGTGACAGCCCCCCCCCCACCACACACACACACACGGCGATAGATGGACGGACAGACGCTACGGGTCCGGTTGTATCCCCGAGAAGTTGGGCACCGGCTAAAAAATCCCAACGGGGCAGCCCCTTACTGCATTAGGGGCAGCCCTTGACTGCATTAGGGGCAGCCCCTTACTGCAGTAGGGGCAGCCCCTTACTGCAGTAGGGGCAGCCCTTTACTGCAGTAGGGGCAGCCCTTTACTGCAGTAGGGGCAGCCCTTTACCGCAGTAGGGGCAGCCCTTTACTCCATTAGGGGCAGCCTTTTACTGCAGTAGGGGCAGCTCCTTACTGCAGTAGGGGCAGCCCCTTACTGCATTAGGGGCAGCCCCTCACTGCAGTAAGCGCCCATTTGCTATCCTTCGGTTCCCTATGTTATATATATTACATATATAACATATATATGTTATATATGTTTTACAGCTTTTGACGTTATACATTCACCATTGTCCACAGCGACCGTTGCTGCTGCGAATGACGTCCTATCCTACCGCGTCAAGAAATCTGTCAGCGATGGCGTAATGGTTTATTTTGTTGAGTTGTTGGAAAGCACCCCACCCCACCGTCACCACCGCCACCACCGCCACCGTCACCCCCCCCCACCACCACCAAGTTGTATCGTGGCCCCACCCTGCACCTCGTACATTTGTGCGAGGTCCAATTGAAGGAACTGAATTTTTGCGTCCTGCCTCGTGAGTCACGGCGACCGTTGGAGTCTGTCAGCGCTGACGATCGCCTCTCACACGCCGGCTGCCGTGCCAACGAGCGCAACGCTCCGCTCGTCCGCTCCGTGGGTGCTGTGGCAGCCCTCGATCGTTAGCCAACCTTTCAGCGAGTTCGGCGGATTGGCGAGGCTCTGTTGTTGTTGTTGTTGTTAAGTCAGGGATAGTGTCGGTAGCCCAGCGCACGATCTGTTGCGTTTGTATTTATTCGTTGGAGAGCGCTGGGAGTTTTTTTTTCGTGTTCGATTTGAACGCGATCGTTACTCGGTAATTTTGTTGTTGTTAAATATTAGATCGGCGATATTTATTTTTGTTATCAGTATTTTTTTTTGTTTGACGAACGTCAATGAACGAGTCCGTCAGACTTTTTTTTCTCACTTCAATTCATAACGCGGGCAATTAATGTATTTCTTCTGACTCTGCGTACAATTGCATTTCAACTCACGTAAGCGAGAGTAAAAAGTAATATTTTACACATATAAAATCAGTGCGCTCAAGTTTTGGCCATGCAAGGGAAGCTGCGAATGTCCCACGTGAGGGCCAGCATACAGCGCCGCCTCGCCTCCTCCTCATCCTTCTCCTCGTCCTCCACCACCTCCACGTCCTCCTCGGGGGGCCGCGTGGCCCGCTTTCTCACGCGGACCGCGTCGCTGCGAGGCCGCGACGAGAAGCCTGACGATGACAGCGGTGACGGCGGCGGCGGCGGCGCCGCGGCCACGCGAGTCTCCGTGCAGCGGTCTCACAGCCTCAACCACAACGGGGCCAAGGGGGCTCCGCGCAGACGCAGAGGTCGGTAGCCGGTCGGTCGCGCCCGTGCACCTAGCCTGGCACGAGCGCCGCAGTAGACGTCACTTAGTGGCGAACGGCGGTTGTTGTTGTCGTCGTCGTCGTCGTCGCCGTCGTTGCGCTCAACCTCTCTTTAGTCGCGGGCAGCGACGAATTTCAGCCGGGCGGGAGGAAAATATTTGTGCGCACGCACGGCACACCACGTCCAGTAATGCCTCTCCGCTACGGCTGCTGCGCACCTCCGATTGGCACGGTTGGCTGCGTACGGCGCGAAAGAAGTTCAACACGCATACGTGCGTACCACGAGTCACGGTGCAGCTGCACGCTCGTTTATTTTCTCGCTTTGTATCGGACCCTGGCCTCGTGTGGCCAGCTGTAGGCATTGCCTCGTTGCTTTGGTTTTCGTTCAGCTTCTGGAGGCTGTCTCCTCGGTGGGGGCGGCCTGGCGCGGAGAGTCTTGGATGCTTCACGTGGCCTCGGAGTGCACCTGGCCTGACGCAAGCGCTTTGGCCACATCGCTGTCACTTTGTAGCGAACAGCCGCTACTTTTTTACACGTGGTGGCAAATGGAAGCTGCGGTTGCTGTTGCTGCTGTTGTTGACTTTGGACCCGTGTGTGCGGTTGTCTTTAACGGGCAAAGAGTGCGCTGCGCTCTGTGTGAGATGCATCGCTCAACCGCAGTGGGACTGGTCCTCCGAAGGCAATGTGTGAGCTCGGTTGCCTGTAATCATTGAAGGTACCACCACTGTCAGTATGCACTGCCGTAATCATAGCAGGTACCACCATAGTTAGTATGCACTGCCGTAATCATAGCAGGTACCACCATAGTTAGTATGCACTGCCGTAATCATAGCAGGTACCACCACAGTCGGTATGCACTGCCGTAATCATAGCAGGTACCACCACAGTCAGTATGCACTGCTGTAATCATTGAAGGTACCACCACTGTCAGTATGCACTGCTGTAATCATAGCAGGTACCACCACAGTCAGTATGCACTGCTGTAATCATAGCAGGTACCACCACAGTCGGTATGCACTGCTGTAATCATAGCAGGTACCACCACAGTCAGCATGCACTGCTGTTATCATAGCAGGTACCACCACAGTCAGTATACACTGATGCAGTCATAGCAGGTCAACGGTGTACAGGGAAGTGAACTCCTGGAGATAAGGAACATCAAATTACTTTCTCGCCGTCCGTATGTACTGTATGTTGGACTTCTTCCGCATCTCCGTACGTAAGCTAACCGCGCTAATCGGAGGCGCGGGAGAGGAGAGGGTGAAGGACAACAAACTAAGCGCCGAAAGCAGTTTTAAACAAATGAGTCTTCAATCCGGACGATTTAAAAGCGCACAGCTCCAGCGGCTTCCTAACATGGGAAGCAAGGTGCGTTCCAGACGGCCGCACCTGAAAGTGCCGCGCGATGCGGCGACCACCGTCTTTGTTCGGTGGCCAGGCCAAAAGCCGCCGCCGCCGCCGCTGCTGCTGCGAGGCTGAGCGGAGTTGGTGTGATGACGGTGTGTGTTCCTCGACGTAACAATTGTTGACGCTGCAGCGCGTGCTGGGCGTTCGCGGTCGTGCCGCACACGGCGTTGGCGGCTCGTGCCGTGCCGCGCGCGCAACCCTTTCGGCGCGGTGTCCGACGTTTTTTTCTCCCCCTGCTGGGAGCTTCTCCGGGAACTGACAGCGAGCCGCTCAGTCCAGTTCCTGCAGAAGCTGAACTAAAACTGCAGACTAAACAATTTGAAATTTGACCAGGTCAGGCCCACTTAGCCGCGTCGCTCTTTTTCAGAAGCGACCTGGCTGTCACAAATTATAACCCAACGAAGTCGCTTATCACGTGGAAATTTACAGTAGCAGTCAAATACTCTGAACTCGTGCTTCTAAATGTCGAGGGAAAAACCGGAGGACCCGCAGAAAAATCCGCGCGACCACGGGTAGGAGAGAGAGAGAGACGCGCAAACTCCAAATATACAGCAGCAGGCGTCAGGGTCGGGATCGAATCCACGACCATCTGTGACGCCCTAGCACCTGCAGAAAAACTTCTGACATGATGCCGAGCAACATGCGCTCCGATTCCAAGTCTCGTGGGGAAGAGCTTTGTTTTTTGCCTTTTAATGTCGGCGTTCCGGCTGTTTCCGTGCGCCAAGTCCGCCCGTTACCTCGTGCGACAGATGCTCTGCAGCTTGCCAAGTGAAGCTTAATTCATAAACTGTCAAGTCCGTGTCTCCAGTCTATCAATTATGTAGGCTGTGTCTGTGCATACATGATTAATTGCCATACCACCATGGTGTGTGTCACATTGACCAGTCTACTAAGGTACGGTGGGTGAGATGTTAACTACCTCGCCGGGTATACAGGAGGGCGTGGGTTCGATCTCGACCCTGACGTCTATATATTTAGAGTTTGCATCTCTCTCTCTCTCTCCTCAGTGGTCGCGTGCATTATTTTTCTCTGGGTCCTCCGGGTTTTTCCCACCGCATTTTAGAATCAACACGCGTTTAGGGCATTTGTCTCCTCTAAATTTCCACAACGATGATGAGCCGCTTCGTTGAGCTATCATTAGCGGCCCAGGCCACTGCTGACAAAGAAGAGGAGGAGGCAGCCCTGAAATGGCTTGCTTCACGCCACTGCTGGCGGAAGTGACTCCACTGAAGGGCGCTCGAGGTAGATAATGCCCCCCCCCAACCATACCTCCCTGCCCCCTCCCTACCCCCCCCCCCCCCCCCCATGCACGGATGGATAGCGTCAACAGTTGGAAGAATTTGGTAAACGTAAAACAAAAATGTAAACACCAATCTGAGCGCTGGTCACAACTCAGGGTAGCAATTGCGAGCCGCAATTGGTGCTCTTGACTGTTTCATCCGGGGCCGTGCTGTGTCCAGCCACCGCTCACCACCGCTCACCACCACCACCACTCACCACACTGCTGGTCACCTCACCTCTCATTTTTCCCTTCTTCCCCTCGCACCACTCCACTTTGGAATCCTCTCCTCCCGTCATCGTCGTCATCGTTCCCACCCCAAGCTCCGACAACAACAACAACAATAACCTCGCTCAATTCCCAGAAAACCCGTTGCAAGTGTAACGGTGCCATTTGTTGCTGGCCGATTGCCATTTTTGCCCATTTTGGCCCTGTGCTCGGCAAGCGCGTAAACAACAACACCAACAACACCCATCTTTAACCGCAAATCGGTCCAGCGTTTACAATTTTCCGCGACGCGAGCATTTGATTATTTTAGCCCTGAAGCGACTTTCAGCGGCGTGGAAATACACCGCGGCGAAGTTGACGGTAAACGTCACTCCTCCGCATCATCCCCCTTCTCCTGGCTCCCCCACCTTCTTCATTGCAAGCTTCGATAAACAGGCAGCCCCGCCAACCTCGGTGTGTTTTGCGTGCGCGTGGACTCAACGCAATTATGTAATGTTCATTTTCTGCTTGTCTGCACTCGGGCTTGGAAGCCGGGCTCCCAGTAACAGCGGCGCTGCCGAGCGAGGCTGCAGGCGATTCCTGTTCCGCGAGCGAGCGTGCGCGAGAGAGAGACAGAGCCAACCATAGCAGGCAGGGAAACAAATGACTTTTTCCAAAGACCTCTCTTGCTGCGCGCATTCTCTTTTGATCGATGTGTCCGGTTCTCGGTTTCGTGTCCGGTTTTCAACGGCGTAATTCCCCACCACCACCACCACCACTACGCCACCGATAAGCACGGTTGACTGCGTACGGTGCGAAAGAGGTTCAACCGTGCGGACGTAATGCATACAACTTTACACTTTAAGCTGCATTCGTATGGCACCATTTGTACGTGGATTCTAGCATCCCAGGTATGGACGGACGGGCAGACAGCCAATGTATCCGAGTCCTGGCCCTTCTGCCATGCGCTTACCCCGGTGGGTTTACGTACGTACGTGTATGTATGTATGTTGAACTTCTTTCGCACCGTACGTAGCCGACCATGCTAATCGGAGGTGCGGGGGAAAGGACAACAATCTTAAAATACATAAAGCAAGTTCGAAAGAAGTGAGCTTTCAATCTATATTTTAAAGTGCATAGCTCCAGTGGCTTCCTAATATCGGAAGGAAGAGTGTTTCCAGACGGCCGCTGAAGCTCATCTGTTTAGCGCAAGGTGCGATGATGATGACGACGACGATGGTGACGGAGGCTGTGCGACAATTTCAAGGCGTCGCTGTACATTTTGTTGGCAGGTTTGACTCGCACGCGTGTGTTCACGTCTGGCCGCTTTTGTCAATCCACTGCTGGATCAAGGCCTCTCTGCCCCGCACCCCTTGCAAGTTGTGGTGGTGGGAACGGGGGAGCGGGGGGGGGGATTGTTTAACCACGCTTCTCAGACGGCGCCTTCTCCCTCACAGAGCCGTCTCTCCCATTAGCACGGTCGGCCACGTACGGTGCGAAAGAAGTTCAACGTACGTGCATAGATAATACGCATTGAGAGTGATACTTCTCACACGACCCCGTGACCCTCTCTCGGAGCGCACACTTTCAGCGGCGTTGGCTCAGTGCAAGCAAACTCCGGGGGGGGGGGGGGGCCCTGGTTTCCCCCACGTGGCGTCTCATCGGCACGAGTCGGGCTTGCCTGGATCAACTCTGGCAAGACCACGAATAGTCACCTGAGACCGGGCGAAAGCCACACGTAGATGATTAGAATTTCAGCGCAACAGTGGATTATGCTGCACTACCCCTCCGCTAATAGGGTTTAGCCCTGCAGCCCTACGACTCTCTGCAGCCCTACGACTCTCTGCAGCCCTACGTCTCCGTATTTGCGCACGACGGTCAACCGTCCAAGCCCTCTCCGGACCAGGGTTGCCACCTGTCCTGGGTTTTTTTTTAATCCCAGGATCGTCCGATTTATTGTCGAGGAGGCAGCGGCCGTTCTGGGAAAGCTGGAAGTCTTCCCTGAGACGTTAAAAAGTCCCGGTCTTTGTCAGCGGTGTAATAAAAAAAATAATAAAAATGTACTGCCCAAGACAATGCTTGTAGCTCTCCCCACATAAAGTTATCGCCCCTGTTCCGGCATTGTGCGATATTCATCTTCTTCCCAGGGTCTGCCCTGATTTTTTTCCCCCCTCGGAGGCGTCTCTCTCTCTCTCTGTGTGTGCCAGTTATTGCTCCGGAGGCGGCTGTTCTGACCAACAGCCAAAAAAAACAAACCCCCATCGTCGGTGAAAACTTTCAACGGTGGCAGCGTTCTCATTTGTAATTTCTCCTGCACGGTATCCATTCTGCAGACTGCACCCTCCCCTCCAGCTGAAAGGCTTGGGGTGGGGGGTGGGCCGGCGAGTCCCACACGGGTTGAGAACCGCTCATGTAAAGGATATTTGATTTTTTGTCTTCTCACGTTGTCCGTCTCCGCAGCGCGCAGCGACACGATGCCTTCAATCGGCTCCTTTTGCGCGATCAAACGGTCGAGCTGGTTTGCGGCTCCGGAGGGCCTCTCGTCCCATGCCTCTTCGATCTGATACAGTTCCTGCCCCCCAGCGGGCGGAGGCCAGGAAATGTGAATGCTATTAAATAATTTCCTGTTTGGGCACAGGAAGTGTGCGTCCGTGTGTGTGTGTGTTCGTGCGTGCGTGCGTCTGTGTGTGCGTGCGTGCGCGGTTTCTGCACTGTATGTTCGTTTCCACTGGCCGCTACGCATTTTTTTTAGACTTCAGGAACATAAGGTTATCGAGACCCAGTTCGCGATGAACACGGCCGTACGTTGAGATTAACAGATTTCATCAACATTATCTCATGACCGAGCTGCAAGAGGGGGTGGGGGGGGGGCGGGGATTCCAATGGGGTCGAACAAAATGTGGGTTCATCAGTGACTTGAGCGATCAAAGACCTCCGGTCCGGCTGGGCTCTTCCGATTATTTCAGCAATCCCTCCTTGGCTCCTTCACCAATTACTGATACCATTACTCGACTCAATAAGACAATGCAACGATATTTGGGGGGGGAGGAGGCAGGGGCGGGGGGCGGGGCGGAAAGTTGCACCTGTTCCTAAGCGTGCCGCTGGACGGGAGGTGATGGGCGGTGCTCGGCGACATCATCGGTATCGCTGGCGGCCGCGCGGCCGTCGGGTTTGCACGGGGGTTGCCCTCCTTCGGGAGGAAAGATGTGGGGGGCGGGGCGGGAGAGGGGCGTAATTTTTCAAGGGGTTCGTGGAATGGAAAGGAAAAGAATGCGTGTCGTGGAATGCCGTTGGCATGAGTGACGTAAAACGATGAACAAAAATTAAATGGAAAATGCAATGCGTGGATGATCATTTCGGTAAACTTGGCAAATCGCAGCTGTGTCTGGCGACGGTGGTTCAAGACCCGCAGACTTGTACCGGCAACAAGAAAACACGCCCCGAGGAGCCGGTCGTCCCTTTTATGAATCTGCGATGTATCCCTGTGACGCATTTCCCCGCGAAGGAGACGAGGAGTGCACAGCATTGCTTAGTTCGCTTCCACCTGAATAGCGCTTCTTGAGTACTAAAGCGGCGTCAGTGGTGGAGGGGTTCGTGCCCCCCCCCCCCCCCCCCACAATATTTTGTAGAATATTTTGTTTTTTCCATTGCCTCTCAACTTAAATGGGTGTTGGGGCACGATGAAGCCAATACCTCCGATTTGCGCGGTTGGCTACCTACACAAGTAGCTCAAGGTGCTCTACTAATACGTTACGGCACGCTCCGCCGGCACTCGGCACAGCGGTTCGTGAATAGCAGCGGCGGGGGGTGGGAGGAGGGACGCTCCTCTTGCCGACGAATGAGCGGACTCCCAGGGCCAGCGGGCGGACTCACCCATGGGGGACTCTGGGGGATAATTCCCGCTGCCCTGCCCTGCAAGCAAGGCCCCTGGTCCCCTGGGTCCTCGTGACCTCCGCGGCCTCAGCGGCCGGTTCGGAGAGACGCTCGGCCGGCACCGCCGAGAGCCCTGGGTTCGAATCCCGGCTCTTTTGGCCGTCGACTGCGATTAAACTCGAGGGGTGGGTGGGAGGGGGGGGGCGAGTTTGACGGGGCTCGGCACCGGTCGCTGATGGACTCCGTGGAAAGTGTGAAAGTGAGCCCCTCCCTCCCCTCTCTCCGTGGGTTTGTTTCCATTTGTCTCGACCCGGGCCGGCCGGTGTCGATGGCACAGTCACTTGGAGTCCCGCCGTGGTTTATCAGAATGGTGTGAACCCTTTATTTGTCCCGGAGGAAACTGATGAGCCATGAAGTTATTTGTGACAGACATCCGCTGGTGAGACGAGGGCCTACTCCAGAGGCTGTCTCTCTGGAGTAGCCCGGTCAGTTTTAAAGACCATGCCGTAGTAAACTAAAAACTATAAAACAATTACATCATTGGACCTCCTTTGTCAGTACCAAAATATGAGAATATAGAACCTCGTGCCACGGCAGGTCTCTCGCCTACTTCAGAAGTTTGTTTTTTTATTGCTGTGGCTGTCCCACCTGCTGACGATTGCTTGTGTTGCGACCGAAACGTCGTGACCTATTATTTTTCTACGTACGTGACTTTACCGAAAGAACCAAAGAGTATGAGAATAGGTTTTTCCCCTTTTATCTGGCAACAGATAAAAGGGGAAAAACCTATTCTCATATAAAACAATTGTTTAGTTTACCAGGTAAGGCCCACTGAGCTACGTAGCTCGTTTTCAGAAGCGACATGGCCACAAATGATAGCTCAACGAAGTGGCTTATGGTGTCGAAATGTATATCAGCCAAATGCTCCAAACGCGTAGAGACGTTGATTCTAAATGTGGAGGGAAAAACCGGAGGACCCGGAGAAAAATCCACGCGACCACGGGGAGAGAGAGAGAGAGAGACGCAAACTCCCAACGCACAGCCGCAGCCGTCAGGTTCGGGATCGAGCCCACGACCTCCTGCACACCAGGCGAGGGAGTTAACGCCTCCGAGCCACCGGCGGCACCCAACGATCTACGATTGGTGTCAAACTTGGCCGACTCGAGACCATGACGATGGCCTGGCTGTGGGCTCACACCCCCCTCCCCTCTGCCGTTGCAGTGCCAACAGACCTGACCCCCGAGGAGCAGCTGGAGCTGAGCAGTGTTCGCCGCCGCAAGCAGGAGATACTCGCCGAGATCGAGGTGAGACCCTGAGCAGAACCGATCATCTGTTGGCGAAGCCCTTTTCCCCCAAATGTGCCAATCAATACCCCCCCCCCCCCACTCTCTGTGGGGCATTGATTGGCACGCTGAGCGCGATCTAACATTGGTAATGTGCACACATCGCATTCAGTATGTTGATTAACTGTGAATTACCCAATAAACAATGGATATGTGACTACATTAACCCCGCACCCCCCCGCCCCCCCGTTCTTCACAAGCGACGACATCGCATTCACCCCCACCTCTATGAAAGGCCCAAACAGGAGGAGGATTTCTCCACAATTCTGTCTGTCGGCTGATGATGCTGGTTGTTATAATTACCGGCGAGACGTCGGAGTAATGGAATTGTAGATGCTGTGGGTTTACTTTCCAACACGCACGGATGTGCTGTTTTGTTCATATGACAAACCTTACTGATTAGCTGTGTCGGGTAGTGACGGGTCTCACGGCACATTTACGCGATCAAATAAAAAAAAAACCTCTCCTGTCGATGCAATCTCTATCCTGGATGTCATTTGCACTGGATTGTCTCCGTTTAATGGGCTAACGTCTCTTTTTTTTTGGTGATTGCGGTTTGCCATTTCGGTGACCCAGGTCACGCGTGCAACTGCGTCTCATCCTCGTCTCCCCCGAGTTCTCGGCCCGGTTAAATGAAATTGATTTGTGACTTTAAAAAAAAGAACCGCGCAATCCTCGCTGATCTCGTCAAGGAGCGTAAGCGGTCACGCTAACTCCGGTCAGGCTCGCAGCAGTGGCGGCGGGCGGCGGCTTTTGGCCGAAACATCGAACAGAGACGGCGGTGGTCACCGCATCGCGCGGCGCTTTCAGATGCGATTCTGGGGCCGTCTGGAACGCTCTCTCCTTCCGATATTCAAAAGCCACCGGAGCTGTGCACTTTTAAATCAGCATCTAGATTGAAAACTCACTGCTCTAGAACTCCTTTTTGCGTTGACTTTTGCCGTTGGCTGCGTACGGTGCGAAAGAAGTTCAACAAACCGTGCATACAAATATCTCTGATCTGCGACTCGCCACGGCCGATCCCTAACTGTAGATGCTTACCACGACGGGGGCAAGGCCCTACGGGTGGCTTCGAGGCTCGAACCTTTTGCGCTTAGCCACCCGCACAATGGATAGAGCAGGAGGAGTACGTGTCGCCACGGTCCCGCCGTGTGAGCCCAGGAGGAGGAGGAGGAGGCGCTGAACACGGTGCGAGTGACTTGACGGTCAAGTGTCTGGTCAGAGTAACCGACGAGTCAAGTTCACGGGCAGGGCGACCCACGGTAGCAGCGATAGAAGAGTGACACGCGGGTGACTGACCGCCAGTGAACGAGAGTGAACCGGTGGGTTCTGGCTCATCAGTCAACCTGACTGCTTCACGTTGAACCCCCGTTAAGCCGAGTGAGATGTATCGCGCAGAGGATGTATCACACGGAGTACGTATCACACGGAGTATGTATCACACGGAGTATGTATCACACGGAGTATGTATCACACGGAGTGTGTATCACACGGAGTATGTATCATCACACGGAGTATGTATCACACGGAGTACGTATCGCCACGGCCCTGCCGTGAGAGCCCAGGCTGGCGGTCCCAACGGAGAGGAAGTGGGTTGGACGCCACGTCCCGTGATTCATGCCGTGAAACCTCGCCTCCATTGTGGCCCTGTGACCCCCCTTCTCCCCACCCCTCTCCCCATCCTTTCTTGTTCCTCGCCCGCCCTTCCTTCCTGCCTCCCCGCCTCCCCTGACCTCTCCGCCTCCTTCTCCTCCGTCGTCATCTGCCACCGTTGCCTTTCTCGCCTCTCGCCAGCGCGCTACTCCCCGGGCTGTGACGCACGCGCGCAGGTAGTCGTGCACATGCGCCCGCTGTCGCTGCACGAACAACAATAACAACAACAACAAATCTGCCTCTCTTTCTCGAATATAAAATCAGTGTTTGCCGGCAGAGGTTAGTGCAGCCACAGTACATTGTTCTTACTCCTTACCACGCCCCCCATTGTCTTTGCTTCCCCCCCCCCCTGCCGCTGCCCCCTCCCCCCCGCCGGGGTCACAAACTCACACTGACCAGTGTGGTGAAGTATGGATACGTAACCCCCGCGCATATCTGTCAACCCCATTACAGACCAACTCCCACCTCATTGGTCACCCCGTGCCCCTTATACATCTCAACGTTCATCCTACAAAGTCCCATCACGTGGGAGAAACACAAACACATAGACAATCACCACTACTACACTCACCACTACTACACTCATCACTAGTACACTCACCACTACACTCACCACTGCATACCTGTCAACCCCTTAGCAGTGCCCCTTATACATCTCAACGTTCATCCTGCAAAGTCCCATCACGTGGGAGAAACACAAACAAATAGACGAAACAAATTGGCCCGCATTGAAACGGCTGTACGCCGTGTATGGACCTGATAACTCAACTTCCACGCACAAGAATACGCGGTGGTTGGGGTGAAACCGTGTGGGTTGACACGGTGTGTCCGCTACGTGCACACGGCTCCAACCATGCGGAGGACTCGGATCTACCAGACTCACTGTGCCATCTCATGCACAGTTGCGCTGTTCAACAACCACCACCACCATCACCACATTGCAGGTCACAACAACAAAGATAAAAGCCACCCGTATAGCCTTACCAGACTGTTGGGGCAAGCGCTGTTAGCGAGTAGCACCAGTGAAAGGCCGGCACGGCACGCGATGGGGGTTTGTGCAGGCCAGCAGCACGCCCGGCCGCCTTTGTCTCCCCAGTGGCGATGTTTACGCACCGCACCAGGTACTCATTTGAGGCTGAGTCGACCTAGGTGAGGCCCAGGACCGGTTTAGGTAATCGTTACCGGTGTTGGCCGTGAGCGGGAATTTCCCCCTCCCATCATCGTCGTCGTCTCTTTTTCTTCCCAAACTCTCACAATAATAACAACGCGCAACAACAGCTCGCAATGATAACGATCGTTTTTTGGGTTAGATCCCGTGTACGAATGAATGTGTCAACTAGCATCATCAGGCAACAGCCAGATAATCTGGTTGCCGCCTGATGGTGCTGCTTGTAATTACTGGCGAAACGTCGTACTCAAATTGTAAATGTTGCAGTGGGGTTTCTCTCCAAAACACACAGCGGTGCGCTGTGCTAGTAACTCGCTGGCACGTTTTGTATACGTGACAAACCTTACTAATCGGCTGTGTCGGGTGGTGGCGAGTTTAACGACACAATTTATATTTTTACGCGATCAAACCCAAAAACCTCTATTGTGGATATTGGTTCACGAAACCCTGCCACGTGTTAAACTGAATATTTGAGGTGTGCCTGTCTCTCTCTCTCTCTCTGCGTGGTCGCATGAATTTTTCTCCGGGTCCACCGGGTTTTTTTCCCCCTCCACGTTTAGAATCAACGCGACCACGCGTTTTCGAGTGTGTGGCTGCTGTAACTGTACACACGACGACCGGGCCGTCCATAAATGACGTCACGCAGCTGGGGGTGATGGGGGGGGTGAGACATTTGTGACGATGTGTGACGGGTTGAGAAATGTGACGTCACATCACAACGCGCAACTTTAATTAAATAAAGACAACACGTTTTACTTAATTAAATAGACTTTTTAATAAATGTTTTCTCCTATAACATCAGAGTGCAGCGCCACATTAAATACGCACTACGATGACAAAAGTTTAAAGCGATTTGAAGCATGTTTTATTTTTTTTTGGGGGGGGGGCAGAGCTTTGTGACGTCATATTTGAGGGGGGGGTCTGACTCTTTGTGACGCCGTGTGACGAGAGGGGGGGGGGGTCAAAAATCGTCCAAAATCGCGTGACGTCATTTATGGACGGCCCCTTACGTGGAGCTTATCATTTTGTGATAGGAGCTATATAGACCCAGTTGGGCTTTGCCTGGTAAAATTAATAGTCAAGTTAACAATAATAGTTTAATGTTATTAAGCACACACACACACAGACAGGCGTGTGTGGTGGTGGTCGCAGCTGAACGGGGCCAGCCGCTTTAATCAACTCGACACTGCCGGCTCAATGCGGGGGGGGGGGGGCGCCTGCAGCGCGTGGGGGGAGGAGGCGCGTGGGGGCGGGGCGGAGATTGTGAAGGGGGAGTGAGAGGGGGGAGGAGTGAGAGGGGAGGTATGGGAAGGGAGTGAGAGGGGGGATTGAGTGAGAGTGGGGGGGTGAGAGTTGTGGGTGGGGGGGGTGAAAAGGGTGTAGTGTGGGAGAGGAGTGTGGGGGGGGGAGTAGGGTTGGGGGGGGTGTGTGTGGGAAGGGGGTGAAAGGGGGAGAAGTGAGGGGGAGGGAGTGGGGGAGATTGACAGGGGATGAGTGAGAAGGGGGGAGTGAGTGCGAGGGTGGGAGAGTGAGTGGGGCGCTCGTGGGAGAGTGAAATCTCCGGCTGCTTCTGTTCACGCCAACATTTACCCAGAGTGCTGTGAAGTCGTCTCCATTGGCCCGAATCGTTGCCGATTGTATGCCGTGTTAGTGGCGCGGAAAGTGTTTGTTGTAGACTCTGTGCACCACCACTGCCAACGCAGCAGCAGCAGCACCACCACCACCACCACCGCGTTTATGATTGATCACAGCTGTCAACCCCTTATTCTTGTGCAGGGAAATTGAGTTTTCAGGTACATACAGCGTACAGCCGTTTCAATAGGGGCGACAAAAATGTCTTATTTGTTTGCGTTTCTCCCTTGTGATGGGACTTTGCAGGAAGAACGTCGAGATTTACAAGGGGGCACGGGGGCGACCTATAAGGTCTGAATTGGTCCATAACAAGGTAGAGGGGGGGGGGCACTGATAAGGGGTTGACACCCATGATTTATTATCGCAACGATGTCCGCCAGCCGCTGTTGCCAGCCGCGCACGCTCGGGTGGTGGTGCAAGGCAGCACGTCCTCTCTGCCCTGTCCGACGATCCGCCCCACACCCAGGCTCAGCGGGCAGGCGCGAATGTCATCCTCTCTGAAATGCAAATTCGAGCGCTTCGCGAGCGGTCACGCGTTCTTAACCTCACCGCTTGTCGATTACCGCTCTCTCTCCTTGGGGGGGGGGGGGGGGGAGCCTTCCCCAATCTTCCCCAATCACTCGGAGCAAGCCCACTGGGACTCCCCCCCCCCCCCATCTCCACACCGCACCACAGACGCGCGGTTAAAGCGGAGTTGACGGAACGTCCAGCGGTAGAGCAAAGTAGAGCACGATGTCGCGTACACGACTCGCTGGGGCATGATGGTGACGCCTACGACGACGATGACGATGATGATGATGTAAAGGCAGACATGTTGATCAACGTTGGAGCGTGGTGGCTATCTGCTGCTGCTACCGATGATGATGACGATGGTGGTGGTGATCGTATTCATCTGGAAAGCCGATAGGGCCAATGGACTTAAAAACGCGTTTGTATTCATATGCGGAGACGCGGTTTCTGTTAATACTTGCTTGCATCTTTTTAAAATCCTTGTTGAAACGTAAACGTGTAGGAATTGAATCGTCGCTTAACGCGCGCGTGCGTGCGCGCTTGTGTCTTGTCGATTCACAGCGACTAAAGAATGAGATAGCGGACGTGATGAATGAGATGGAGACCATTGAATTCATGGATGGAAGGTACGTGTGTGCGTGCATGCGCAAAGTCCTTTCCCTCCCTCGCTCCCTCTTTCCTCTAAATGCTCAAGAATTTGCAGAGCCGTGCGTGTTTTTCTACTATATGACAACCGCAACTTCCAGCAGACCACCGCGCCGTGCGGTGTTTCGGGAACAGCTGTTTTGTTTATACACCGGCTAAAAATGCCTGAGCTGGCACCGATTGGGGGGGGAGGGGGGGCAGGGCGAGCGACGGGGATCAGCGGCTGGAAAACGAGGCCCGGACGAGGTGAAACAGGTAGCGGGTGGGGGGAGGAGGGCACCCGGGGGTGAAAGCGTGGGACGGATTAATAAGTGTCGGAGGCAGTTAGCGGTGGCCTGCTATTGTTGTGGCCCGCTTCACTGGGACCGTGAGACCGTGAGGCCTCGTGTTCCCGGCCCCGCTCCCCCCGAAGACAAAGATCCCCCGCGTAGCTTTAGCAGGCTGTAGGGGCAAGTGCTGTTCGCGAGCTCTTATGTAAACCGGCACGGCACACGAGGGGTTCAGGTGGCCAGCACTTTGTCTCCCCTAGTGGCGATGTTTACACACCGCACCCAGGTCCTCATTTGAGGCCGAGTCGACATCGGGGGGAGGGGGGGGGCACAGGACCGGTTCAGACAATCGTCATCGGCGTTGGCCATGAGCGGGAATCGAACTTGGCCCTGCCGGGTTCGTAGCGCAGCGCGATAACCACTACACTACCACTCCCCCCCCCAGCCCCCCCCCCTCGCTGTGTCTCTCCGTGTTTTCGGGCCCTACCGCGCGCCGTTCGGCACCATGTCCGACATTTCGCTCTACGTGAAACCGTCGGGAGCTTCTTCGGGAACCGCTGTGCATCTAACCACATTTCTTCCCCAGCCCTACGCCGTGTTCCTCCATCAGCTCAACTACCCGGCCACCAGACCTCTGCCCCTACCACCCTTAACCGACCCTCATCCGTGCCCATTTCACCACTTCACGCTCGTGCCCCATACCCCAGTGCCTCTCGTCCACGCTGCACCCATCAGACACCGTCACTCACCATCACACTCCACCATACTCTGCCTGACCTACCCTAGCAACATCAGCAGCCCCATTCCCAGGCCCCTCCATCCATTCCGTCAGCTCCCTCTCTGAACGCCGTCGGCTTGCGTTTTAAAGCGCCCTGGGAAGGACGCGATGTCAATCCGAAATAGAACAGAAGAGATTGTACACGATGCGTGAGTCACACTGTTTTCAACAACTATGTACCGCTGTGCTGTTGTTGTGTTCAGACGCTATGTAAATCTGAATGGTTCTGTGAGTGTGTATGTGCTGTGCCGGTCTTCATAGGTGCTCGCTGTCAGCACTTGCCCCAACAGTCTGTTAAGGCTACAGGGGGGAGCTTTGTTTTTTTGGTGTTGGTATTGGGGAGCGGTAGTGTAGTGATTATCGCGCTGCGCTACGAACCCGGTGACCCCAGTACGATTCCTGCTCGTGGCCAACATTGGGTTGGCTTAGTCTTAAATAAGCAGCTGGTGCGGTGTGTAAACATCGCCACTGGGGAGACAAAGGCGGCCGGACGTGGTGCTGGCCACCCACCCGCTCGTGTGCAATGCCGGTCTTCAAAGGTTGCTACTCGTTAACAGCACTTGCCCTGACAAGTTGTTAAGGGCTACACGGCGGGGGCTCTTTGTCTTTGGTGTTGAGGATGGACTATTCAGGAAGGGGGTGGGGGGCGAAGGGTGAGGCCACGGAGTACCTATTGATATTGGCCTGGGATGACAGGCGGATTGCAGCTGCCTTGGCCCGCTACCGCCTTTAAGCCTTTGGCACGTTGAGCCACTTGACAGATCCGGCTCGCATTGGCCAAGGCGGTCGCCGCTCGGCTTTTTGCAGAGTGGTGTGGGAGCTAAAGTGTGAATGTCGTGGGGGGGGGGGGGGGTTGGGGGGTTAGCAGAGGCACAGCAGCCGCAAGCAGCTGGGCTGCCCTGACAACATCAGGCCTCGGTTGAATGCAGGAGCCTGTTCGTGTTGGCACCAAGGCACGCTTGTCCCTGCCCGCTCCCCGTGTTATTGCCCAGTGGACGATCGGATTACAACGGACTCGCCAAGTCCCACTCCTTGTTGTGACTCTCAACAAAGACAGCTGCACGCCGCAGTGTCGTAATACACTCTGATTGGCATGGGCCCATGCTGCGAGGATCTAACATTTCGCTTTTGGTCAACCCTTATTATGCCCGGCCCCCCTCTTTGTATCCCGGAAAACCTGGGCTCCCCCAATCCCCCCTCCCCCCGCTGCGGTCCACGAGCCCTCGGCGCGGTTGCAGCGCCTACGCACTCGATAGCCGGGCCACTTGTCGTACACGAGCAGCCACGGTGTGAACGAATTGGGGGAAACCCACTCCGCACCGAGGGCCCAATCGGACTTTCGAATGCAAGTGGCCGGCCACCGATGGCGACGCAAAGGCCTCCTTGCGGTGACGGAAGCGCGTGCTTCTAAAATTCAAACCACAGTGCCGTTTGGGCAGTTTTAAGTGGTGCCTCTCAAGTGCCCCGGTTAGCAGGGCTCGGAGGCCAAATGTAAACGCGAGTTACAAGAAGCTGGGGGAGGAGAGCTGTGAGGAGTGTGTCATGCCAAGTTTCCCGAGTTAATAGCCACGGACGGAGCGAAACGGAAGGGAGGCCAGAGGGAGGGCGCTCGCAGGGATGGATGAATATCGTTCTCGGGCCCTTTCGAAGTTGTTTAGGGGCGCCCGGTGGCAAGATGTTAACTGCCTCGACTGGTATGCAGGAGGTCGTGGATTCCATCTCGACCCTGACGCCTGCTTGTATATTTGGAGTTTACAGCAGGCGTCAGGGTGATTGGGGTGATTTGGTTCTAGCCCACGGATGAACGGGATGAGTGAAATATATATATATTTTATTTTACAAGGTAAGGCTCACTGAGCTATATAGCTATTTTTCAGAAGCGATCAGGCTATCACAAATGATAGCTCAACGAAGTGGCTTATCAAAACGTGGACATTTATAACAGCCAAATACTCTAAATCGCATGCTTTTAAATGCGAAGGGAAAAACCGCAGGAACCGGAGAAAAATCAAGGGGAGAGAGACATGCAAACTCCAAATATACATCTGGCGTCAGGGTTGGGATCGAACCCACGCGCTCCTCTATACCATCTCTCCACCGCGGCGAACAAAGTCGCGGTGGCTCCGTATGTTCTTCACCGCTGGTGTTAAACGTTGTTGGCGACGGGGGGCAGTGTGGCTTGAACGTGAGCGAAACGCTCTGCGGTGACGGTGAAGCGTCATCTCTGGTCTCTCTCTCTCTCTGCCCTGCAGTAAAACCATGCAGCGCAACAAGCAGATGACAGCCGGTCGCAAGAAGTTCAACATGGACCCGAAAAAGGCAAGCGGAACTCCCGTCGCCATCAGTCTTTCTCCGGCATTATCATCCCTCATCATGTTTGAAAACTTTTCTAAAATAAACGAAAATTATGTTAAAAAAATATATAACAATTGCGGATTAATTTTTTCCGCCAGTTTACGTCACTCGTAAAAATAACGGCGTCGTGTCGTCGGAGCATAGAACCCAGTGCGGATATCGCGCTGAGCAGCGTGTGCGCCCGGCGTGTCGGAGGGCGTCCGTCGGAAGAGGCCGCTCGCTTTGTGACGATCAAAACACGTGGCCTCTCCTTGATCGTCACAAATTAGGGTCGCCGCACTTGACTAAACGTCACGATTTTTTTTCTTTCCCAGTTTCTCGTGCCACGACTGTTACAATAAAGTGCCGAGTTTTAAGCAGATACAATGCACGCGGAAGACTCTTTAACTGTAGCAGCACGGTGGAAAATTAATGACGGGAGTGGCAGCCAAAGGGGACGTAAGCCCCCGCGTAGGTGGAGGCGAATAAATCAGCTCGTGTGCAGGGTGCTCGGTGGATCGTTGCATCACGGGACGGCCTGGCAGGGAGGCCTACGCCCAGCAATGGACGGTGGCTGACGATGGTCGGTGATGATGATGATGGTAATGATCGCGTCACTTCTATTCACAGGGCATTCGCTACCTGGTGGAGAACGATCTGCTCAAGAGCTCACCGGAAGACATCGCTCAGTTCCTCTACAAGGGCGAAGGGCTGAACAAGACGGCCATCGGCGACTACCTGGGAGAGAGGTGCGGCGCTAACGGGGGGGGTGGAGGCCGACGGTCCACGGACCGGACACGGCCTCCACTTCACTTCACACGGCCCATGGCCACGCGAGCGAGGCCTTGCCGCTTGTAAACGGCCTTTATCCATCAACGGGCCCCACGGTGGCGAGATGTTACCAGCCTCACTTGGTACACAGGAGGTCGTGGGTTTGATCCCAACCCTTACACCTACGTGTCTTTCTCCCCGTGGCCACGTGGATTTTGCCCCGGGTTGTCCAGTTGTCCCCTCCACATTTAGAATCAATACGCGTTCAGAGTAATTGGCTGCTCTAAATTCCCACGCGATGATAAGCCGCTTTGTTGAGCTGCGGCCAGGTCGCTTCTGAGAAACAGCAGCTATGTAGCTCACCAGGCCTTACCTGGCGAAATAAAAACAAGTTTCGTTTCATTGGATACCAGATGGGTACTGAAGAAATTGTATCGGAGTACTGAAGGCGTTGTGTTGAAGCGCTTAACAAACTTACTTGAATTAACCTTTGGCTTGTCGATCCCTGTCCACCCTTTTCCCGTGTCGCATCCATCTAGGGACGAGTTCAACCTGAAGGTGCTGCAGGCCTTTGTCGACCTCCACGAGTTCACGAACCTCAATCTGGTGCAAGCTCTCAGGCGAGTTCTTCTCACCTCCTCCGTGTCGATGACGTGACGATGCCGGTGTCAGCGTTGGTGTCGGTGACCATGATTGTATCGGTGTCGGTGACTGTGTTGGTGACCGTGCCGGTGAGCGTGTTGGTGAGCGTGTTGGTTGATCGTGACCGTGTCGGTGACCGGTGACCTTGACCGGTGGCCGTGTCAGTGACCGTGACCGGTGACCATGAGCATGTCGGTGACCGTGTTGGTGAACGTGTTGGTGACCGGTGACCGTGTCGGTGAACGTGTTGGTGACCGGTGACCGTGTCGGTGACTGTGTCGGTGACCATGACCATGCCGGTGAGCGTGTTGGTGACCGTGTCGGTGAGCGTGTTGGTGACCGGTGACCGTGTCGGTGACCGGTGACCGTGTCGGTGACCATGTAAGTGACCATGTCGGTGTCGGTGTCCATGCAGGCAGTTCCTGTGGAGCTTCCGTCTGCCGGGCGAGGCCCAGAAGATCGACCGCATGATGGAGGCGTTTGCGGCGCGCTACTGCCAGTGTAACCCTGGGGTGTTCCAGTCCACCGGTACACGCACGCACACACACACACACACGTACGCACACACACACACACGCACGCACACACACACACACGCACGCACACACACACACACGCACGCACACACACACACACACGCACACACGCATCCACGTACGTACACACGCACACACGCATTCACGTTCGCACACACGCACGCCGCCTCAACAAAAACAACTCGCAATCATTACGTTTTCTGCAACAACGACGGGTGCTCGCCATTGGCACACGTCCCGACAGTCCGTTAAAGGCCACGAGGTGGGGGGGGGGGTTGGACGGGCGGTGTTGGGACCTTTTTGTGTTTATGCCGCCGCAGACGCGTGCTACGTCCTCTCCTTCGCCATCATCATGCTCAACACGAGCCTGCACAACCCCAACGTGCGCGACAAGCTCACCGTGGAGCGCTTCGTCACCATGAACCGCGGGATCAACGACGGGGGCGACCTGCCGGAGGAGCTGCTCCGGGTGAGTGGCCCTGCATCCCCCCCCCGCGCTCCCCCCCCCCCCATCCCCCCCATCACAGCAACCCACCGAGCGAGCTCCATCCAGGCGCAGAATCACCGTCACTCCCCGTTTTGGAATCTCTTTCCTTTTTTTATTGACGCCACCGAATGCCCTGGGCTTGGCCTGGGCAGTCCACAAAGTCGGTCCCCGGTGGCCGCATGAAGAATTTGTGAAGAATTTGTGAAGAATCTGAGCTTTGTCGCCCTGCTCCAAATGATCTGGCCTCGTGCTCGATCCATGATGGGTCGAGCTACCTGGGCAGTGGGCGGGGCTACCTGGGCAGTGGGCGGGGCTACTGGCATAATGGGCGGGGCTACCCGAGCAGTGGGCGGGGACCAAAACATCATTTCTAAGTTCGGGACCCGGGGCGGTCGCCCCCTCGATTCTCCGTACCCTTAGGGGACGGCTCTGGAGGAGTGATTGGGGGGTGGAGGGGCATCGTCAGGGGCGCTACACACCGGGCTTTCCGCCGCCGAGCGGAGGACCTGGCATGGCTGACGTGGCTGACTGGGCCTGGCTGACTGGGCCTGGCTGACTGGGCGTGGCTGACTGGGCCTGGCTGACTCGGCGTTGTTCCGTGCGACCCGCGCCTCCTCTCCCGCCCCCCCCCCCCCCCCTTTTCAGAACCTGTACGAAAGCATCAAGAACGAGCCGTTCAAGATCCCCGAGGACGACGGGAACGACCTGACACACACCTTCTTCAACCCCGACCGCGAGGGCTGGCTCCTCAAGCTGGGTGGGTGCGCGGCCGCTCCCGACGCCGCTCTCTCTCTCTCTCTCTCGCTGGACTTTCAGACGATGAGCTTTTTTTTTTTTTTAGAGCCCATCGGATTCCTCCGGTATCAGTAGATATTCCGAATAGTAACAATAACTGTGGTAATAATGTCAACGTGCGACGGCTTCCTGGTGAATGACGGCTGCTTTCTCTCTCCCCGTTCACTGCTTTCTCTGCTCCCCGCTGCAGGAGGTACGTGCGATCGCTCGCGTCGCTCCCCCCACCTCGCCCCCCCCCCCACATCACCCCCCCCCACCACCTCGCCCCCCCCCACCACCTCGCCCCCCCCCCCACCTCGCCCCCCCCCCCACCTCGCCCCCCCCCTCACCTCGCCCCACTTTACGCGCTCCTTGCGACGCCGCCGATCCGTTTCCACCTCGGGCGCTTTTTTTCCCCCCCCCGTTTTCTTCTTGTTTCGTTGTAACAAAAAAAACAAATCTGTTGTAGCCGTGGCACGGCACCACCACGGGGAAGGGCGGCCGAGTCCCGGATGCTGCAGAATGATTGGGGGAAAGGGAGAGGAGCGGCGGGAGAGGGAAAGGGGGGCCGGGACGAAAGCCCACCCCTACACCCCCCCCCCCCCCCAGAGACGGACAAAGAGGGACGGGGCGCGGCTCAAGATGAGCGAGAGAGGAGGAGGAGGGCAGGAAAGAAGGAAGGGGGAGGAGTAAGGAATGACCAGGCCAAGATGTCAGGGATGACAGGGTTGGCGATGACGATGAGCAGGATAGACTTGTCCCAGCTATACAAATGTGGGAGTTGCATTCACTGGTTCGGGGCACCAACATCACGTTGACTCGGGTCGCTCATTAGAGATCCCTTCGCCGCTCGGCCGTTGAGGGGAGAGCGCGAGAGGGCCCGTTGCAAATCGGTGGGGTGTCTGTAAATGGATCCTACGGCGTCGTCGGCACGGCGACGCATTCACTCATTTATTTATCTGAAGCTGACGCGAGGGGCCCTGTTGTGTTCGCTGCAGGGGGCCGAGTAAAAACGTGGAAGCGGCGGTGGTTCATCCTCACCGACAACTGCCTCTACTACTTTGAGTACACCACGGTGAGTGAGTGGGGGGTTGCCCCCCTCCCGCCCCCATTCCCCCTGCCCCCCCCGCCCCCCCCCCCCCCCAGTCTACACCTGCACCCGTGCGAGTTCGCCAACAACGAACGAACAGAATATTTATTTGCACTGGAGGAATCCGATGAGCTGTAAAGCTCTTTTTTTCACAGATGTCCAGTCGAAGGTTATCCGCACTACGTCTAAAACATCGCTACGGCGGCACTTGTGCCAGGCTAGGTGCGCTTTGAGGCCAGGGTGGAGTGGCGAGAAGGCTCGCAGAAGTGTTTTTAAAGCGGCCGTGGGGAACGACGATTGACCGTGGGGAGCGTGCGTGTGTCTGGGTAGGACAAGGAACCTCGTGGGATCATCCCTTTGGAAAACCTGAGCATTCGGGAGGTGGACGATCCCAAGAAGCCGGTGAGAGTCCAACCCACACAACGCACACTCCACCCTGCACACTCCACCCCGCACACTCCACCCCACGCACTCCACCCCGCACCCCGCACACTCCACCCCGCACACTGCACCCCGCGCACTCCACCCCGCACACTCCACCCTGCACACTCCACCCCGCACACTCCACCCCGCACACTCCACCCCACGCACTCCACCCCGCACCCCGCACACTCCACCCCGCACACTGCACCCCGCACACTCCACCCCGCACACTCCACCCCGCACACTCCACCCCGCGCACTCCACCCCGCGCACTCCACCCCGCGCACTCCACCCCGCGCACTCCACCCCGCGCACTCCACCCCGCGCACTCCACCCCGCGCACTCCACCCCGCGCACTCCACCCCGCGCACTCCACCCCGCGCACTCCACCCCACACTCCACCCCGCACGGCGGGTGACGATGAATGTGAATCGCAGCGCGTGGGCCCCGATGGGCGCCTGTGCTGGGTGGAGCGGCAGCGTGGCGGTTTGCGCTCTGCACTACGAACCCAGCGACCATCGCACTCGAATCCTCGCCGCGGTTTTCAGCGACATTCTCCGTGACCAGTGTGGCGAAGTATGGTCGAATAACCCCCCCCCCCCACGATCGAGATGCTTTCATCCAGCAGTGGACTAACAAAAGGGCTGTGCGTTCGGGGGGGGGAGGGGGCGGGGAAATATTTCCCGGAGCTTAACGCAGGCCTGGACGGCTCACGATCGGAAGGTCACAAGTTGAACTCCTGACCGTGGTGGGTTGATTTCGATCCATCATCACTCCGAGATCGATAAAACGAGCGGGTTTATCCTTTGGATAGACTCCCCCCCCCCCCTCTCGCCGCCGCCCCGGCCATGGGAACGTTGAATTTCCACCGCTCGCTCCAACTCTCAATCGTTCCCTTGTTCGGCGCCGCCGCCCCCGCTGACACAGAACTGCTTTGAGCTGTACAACGACGGCGGTGGCCTGGTGAAGGCGTGCAAGACGGAGGCGGACGGCCGGGTGGTGGAGGGCAACCACGTGGTCTACCGTATATCCGCTCCGGCGCCAGAGGAGCGTGACGAGTGGATCAAGAGCATCAAGTAAGTGCCCCCCCCCCCCCACTGCCCCCCCCCCCACCCGACCCCCCAAACCCACCGCCCACCCCCCCCAGGGGCGGGGACGGGGACACCAAGGTTCAGGGGTCGCACCCTGCAGTCGGCCCGTTGCGGGAAGGCCCTTCTGGGCCCTACGTCATAGCAAATGTGCGAGGGTCAGCGTTGTGCTATGAAAAAGGGTCATTGCCCGAAACGTCGCCTATTATTTAATTTTCCTTTTCAAGCCGCACAAAAAGACAAAGATCCCCCGTGCAGCCTTAACAGACTGTTGGGGCAAGTGCTGTTAGCGAGCAGCACCTATGAAGGCCGGCACACGAGGGGGTGGGAGGCCAGCACCATGCCCTGCCGCCTTTGTCTCCCCAGTGGCGATGTTTACACGCCGCACACCAGGTACTCATTTGACCGAGAGGAGGCCCAGGACCGGTTCGGATAATCGCCAATGGCATTGGCCATGAGCAGGGAATCGAACTCGGGTCGCCGGGTTCGTAGCGCAGCGCGCTAACCGCTACTCTGCCGCTCGGCCGCACACGCACACACACGCGAACACACGTTGACGAGCGTGTTGTTGTTTCAGTGCCATTGTCGTCAACCGTGCTTGTGCACCGCTGCCAATGCGATAGCGGCGGCGATCGCCAAATCATTCGTGGCAAGGGGGCTGCATACGAATCTCTAAATAGAAAAATATTTCGCTTTCGCTTTGTCTCCCCCCCCCCCCCGCCCCCCCCTGCAGGGCGAGCATCAGCAAAGACCCCTTCTACGAGATGCTGGCGGCAAGGAAAAAGAGGGTGGCCAGCAAGAAGTCGAGCTAAGATGCGCCGCGTCGAGCCACGGACCGGTGGTTGGGGGGGGGGGGGGCGTGGGGGGGGGGGAGTGGGGGGGGAGGGGCTCTTTTTCCCTCCCCCGGCGACCATCTGCACGCCTTCGGGCCCCGCGCAGGGCACCATTCCGACAAAAGCCGAACGGAGGCTGTAACTTTTCCACGGTGGTGTGCCGCTCGTGCGTGAGGATGGATGTAAGTGGGGGGGGGGGGGGGCGGGCGGTGGCTGTTGGCAGTTCCGGATGCAAAGTGGTGCAAAAAAATGTTAAGGCTCACGTCAGAAATCTGTGCGTGGGTGGGAAGAGCGACGCGTGGGTGAGAGTGATGCGTGGGTGTGAGCAACGAGTGGGTGAGAGCGACGTGTGGGTGAGAGGGGTGAGTGGGGTGAGAGTGACGAGTGGGTGAGAGGGACGAGTGGGTGAGAGCGACGAGTGGGTGAGAGCGACGAGTGGGTGAGAGTGATGCGTGGGTGTGAGCGACGCGTGGGTGAGAGGAGCAACGTTTCGGGCGGACGCGGGAGTCGGCTGGTGTTCCCACACTCGATGCGGGAGCGATCGAGAGAAAGCCGCGTCAAACCAGTGCCAATTGCGGTGCGCCCGCACGAGCGGGCGGGCGAACGCCAGGGGCGGGCGGGGGGGGCTGGACCTGCTGTGCGGTCCGTGCCCCGCACGTCGTCGTTTTGTCTTAAAGAGAGGAGAGGACCGCTCGTGGGGACTTGCCGAGGCCTGCCCCTGCCGGGCCTCGGGTGGATGCCGAGCGAGGCTTCCGTGTAGCATGACGAGTGTTAACGATTCACCTTGTCCACGGTGATGGGGGAGTTGGGGGGGGGGGGTGCACATGGGAATTCACATGGAGTATGTCAATTCCCAGGATGTTTGACAGCCTGACCGTGTAAGCGCCGCGGCGGTTCTGCAACGTCGTTCTCGGGTTGTGGGCCAGCCCCCCAACCCCGCCCCCCCCCCCGCCCCCCAACCCCCCCCCCCTCCCCCGTGTTGCTCAGCGCGGCGTCCGTCGTTTCGGTCGCCCACGCCAGTCAGGGTCGCCGCGCCGTCCTGGTTCTCTGTCTTCTCCGGAGCACTCGATAAAAAAGTGGCGTTGTGTGTGTGTGTGTGTCGGCTGGAAGACAATATGCACACCTCCAAATGAATGTCGCTGCAGACGATCGCCAGCGCAATGGGGAGTTTATCTGCACGGGTTTAACAACTGTGCGGATTACTCTTCAACATACGGCCGTGCTACGTACGTGTGTGTATGTTGAACTTCTTTCGCACCGTACGTGGCCAACAGTGCTAATCGGAGGTACTGACAACTTTGTGTGCGTGGGGGTGGGGGGTTTCCGGCCGCGTCGGGTGGAGGAGTGAGCACGACACACACACACACAGCGGCGATTGTGTTCGCGTGACCCGACCTGACCTGAAAAGTCAATTACGAGCCGGACGTCATGCGCTGAGCAACGCCGGGCACGACAACCGAGCGAGGTCACAAGTGGTGGGAACCACCGTGATTGGCGATCCTCATTTTTCTATTTGTACGTACTGGTATTATTATTATTGTATAGGACGCTAATCGGTTATTATAACTTTTTTTAATTCTATTATTACTTTCGTCTGGATAGAACCGAGTTACACACACACACATATATATCGATGTCTGTGCGGAGGGAAATATTTCGCGCGCCCGTGCAGACGCGGGGGCGCGCTGCAGTTTACTTCGAAGAGCGTTCCATACGTGGCAAGCGTCTGGCTAAGGATCGGCTCCGTTGCGGTTACGTTTACCGCAGGGCTTTGGCCTTCGGCCTTCTCCGGGCGAGAGTTCATGCCGAGGCCCCCCTTCTGCGTCGCTACAAAGTCGGACAACCAAAAATGGTGCGAGCGGCATTTCGAGGCGCCGGCCCCGCGATTGCTCGCTCACGCCACCGCCGGCGGAAGGGCCGCCCGCTGCGCGATCGCTGGGAAATTCTGGAGAGCTTTCTTTAGCCCTGCTCTTTCACGCTGGCCCACACGTTTGTGTAGATCGGGCGCGAAAAAACGTGCGGGAGAGACTTAAAAAAAAAAAAACTTCTACCACCCCACCGCACAAGCGACCTGCTTGCCAATCGGCCGCGTCCGCCGTGGACCCATTTATGTCGGTGGGTGCGGACGGAGGCAGAGGGTGGGGGGGAGGGGGGGTTGGATTTGGAGAAAAGTCCCGCCGCCGTCTTTGTCTCGACCGCGTGTGCCTGGAGACCGAATGGAGCCGGCCGAGAGTCGGCGTCGCGTTAGCCCGTCACGCCGTGCGACAGCAACCCTCGCGTTCCGGAGTGACGTTGATGTTCCAAAGTTCAATGAGCGGAACCTTCACAAACTTTGTGGTTACAATGGTTATTGCTCTAAACGAGCCTGTAAAAGGCTTTCAAAGCATGTTTTTTTTTATCCACTGTTGCCATGCCCCCCCCCCCCGCATCATACCCCCACCAATGATTTGCCATTTTCAAATCGACGATAGGCTATTAATTTATAATACAAAAAAGTATTCCTTCGTAGAAGCTAGCCTGGCACGGCTCTGGAGGCTCCGGGTCGCTTTTCCACTGCAGAGTGCCGAGCTGTGTTGCTGACGTCGCAAAGCAATCAAGTTGTGGGTAACCCCCCCCCCCCCAAGCCAGATTGAGACATCCTCGTAAGTCTTGTGCCGTGATGGCCCGGCGCTGGCCTGGCTCGAGTGTGCCAGTGGAGAAGGAGTAATTGTAGATCGGGCACATTTGTAAAATTATTTTCGTCACTCCGTGTGTGTGTGTGGAATGGCACCGAATAAATTAACGGAGCCCCCGAATTATTATGTTTTTTGCTGCGAGCCGATATGAAGTTGAAAATGCGAGGCGGCTGCTGCGTGCCCAGATTCCGGAATATCCAGGTGCTCGGTCTTCTGGACCATGTGTCCGGTTTTGTCAGCGAATTAACTCTTTTTGCACAGCTAATGGAGATGCATTCCTTATCTTTTGAAGGTCGAGACGGTTGAGCGATCGTCGTTAGACCGAGATTTTTTTTTGTCGTCGTCGTCGGTTTAAATACGAACTTTTTTTTTTCGGTGGCAAGAGCAGCGCGTCCATCAACGTCGGAGATCGTGGCTGCACCCCAGCATTTACCGCACAGACCCACCACACGCGCCACGCCACTTGCGCCGGAGCTCACCCCTGCACTGTTATACACAATAATACACAAATACAGCGAGTCCTCAAAATAACGGTGAAGGATATAGCAGGCTTTTATATATTTTTGGCGGAACCTTAAAAAACATATCTCAAGGCCCTCTCTCTAGTTTGGTCAGGCTTTCGAGCAGCTCTGGGCTTGTGTCCACGCTTCCGAGTTTGTTGACTTGTCTGAAAAATCTGGCGCGTTATCATTATTATTGATAAATTTTTTGTTACACATATATCGTACTCAGGTGAGCTCAGACAATTTGCGCCGTGCAAAGCGACCGCTGCCTTGACGATGTTGTTCTCGCTAGCCCCGGTCTTCACGCCGCGCAGAAACGTGGATACGACCCGTACAGGTCCCTGCCGAGTCCCGCACGGCACAGCAGCCGCGACTGCTACCGCAGAAAAATTGGATTGTGCGATCCGGAATTGGCTCGTGTGATTTTCAATAATGATTATACCTAAAACATGTTTTTCTACTTGTACGTATGCAATAAAAGCAATATCAATAATGTCACAAGCTGTAAATGGCCAAAGGTTGGCCTTCATGGGAATGACGTGGTTTTGGGAAGGGGAAATTGGTATCGTGGAGGCCAACCCAACCCTGAATTAGCCCGATATTGCGAGGACACACAGTGCAAACACACCCCCCACACAAGCAACGCTACACTGCACACGCATGGATAGGTCTGCAGGTCATAAAAGCTGGGAGTTGAGAAGCTCTGTTTTGAGTATTCTCGAGCAAATGTGCAATGTTTTATTTTATTGTTGGTGAACTTTAACCCCTGATCAGTGTTACGTGAATTAGTATAACTTGTAGGAATTAGCGTGCGCGTCGTCGGCAGAACCCAGACTCCGAGCGCCGTGGAAGGTTCAATGAATCCATCCCGGGCTTTCGCCAACACCACCACCACCACTAAAATCACCCAACGAATCGTCTATCGGATTGATTCTGGAGATCCACTGAAACGCCAGAGATCTCCTGCTCAGATGAGCATTGAAGCGGTGCTCGTCTTGTGTTTACAGCCCTGAGCCAGTGGTTAGACATTCCACATTCCTATTGTGGGAGTTGAATCCACTGTTGATCTCTCCCACCAAGTGGCACTCATTTTACGGAGCGCAGAGGGATAGATGGGCCCGAGTCAAGTCTCTGAAACACGATTTGAACTCGCAACGTTTCCGATTGCCGAGCCACCGTGGACAGACGGAGGTCCTCTGGCTGTCAGAAAACAAGATAAATGTATTGAAATTGAAACGCGAATTGTGTTTGTTAATCGTCAAATCCAACGATTCTTACATCTTTGCTGCCGCGTGTAAATGTCCTTGTTCCCGTACGCCTTTGATTACGGGAATAAAACAAAGGCATAATGCAGTAAAATTCCTGCTATCCGTAACCCTTTTATCCACCACTCCGTGGTCCGCGAAAAATCCGCGGCCACATTCTTCCTATTAACCGCAATCATCTGCGGTTTCCCATCCTGCGTTGCGGAACGGGCTTCTTATTATCCGCCAAAGTCTTTGCAAATTCGCGCGATTTTATTGGTGAACAAAATTCATCACTACGGACAAGCAAAAGCGAATTCGCAAGATAACGTCGCGGATAATAGGATCCCGCGGTGTTTTTGTCGCCCACATCCCAAATAAGAGGAGCTGTGGTTGTTGGTGCTGTTAAAGACCCCGACATGGACATTGGCGAGTCCTTTCCCAGCCCGGAGGCTGTGATGCTGTAGGACTGCCCACCGTGTGACGTGTTAATGTACATAATCGTGCCGTGTTAAGTATGTTGCTATTAAAATAACGTTCTGTTTATACTGCTTGTGTCAATGCTTTTGTTTGCCAATTATTGTTTGTAACAATAAATTCTTACCGTGAACACGTAAGCCTTGTGAGCGACCGTTCAGAGGTTGTGGCTTCAAAGTGCTGTCCCCAGGACCCAATGAGGGCTTGAAGTAGCTGGCAACAACCAATGTTTCAAGTTGGGACCTGGGAAATGTCACTCTTGCAAATGAGACGCCCGGGCGCATTATACAGGGTGTTTGAAAAAGATGGACCCGATTTGAAATTGCTGTATCTCTGCAACCACGAACCGCCCATGAATGAAACTTACCACTTGAAAGGGCAGGGCATAGAGTTTCAAATGATGACCGCTAGATACCTCAGCGCACAAACAGCCCCTAGCCTCAGTCATTAGCAAGATAGCGACCCCGAAACACAAGGCGTTTTGCGTTCTGCAGTTCAGCAAAATTTAATCCATAATTGCGGTGCAGCGTGTTTCAACGGCGTTTTGGCATTGATCCACCAATGTCAAAGAGCATGGTGGCACAAAAGACCGTGGTGTTTTTGTGCCACCATTAGCGACTAATCTGGATGACCTAAAAACAGAATCACGGCAGTGGTGACTTCAGTGGAAGACACTTTGAGAGGCGTTAGGGACAAATTCAACTATCGTCTCGATGTTGTCCGTACAGCAGGTGGAGGGCACCAGTGCATTTATAAAATGGTTAGTAAAACTAAATAACTCATTAAACCGTTTGTAACTTTTTGTGTAATTGTAACATTGCCATCGTGAAATATACTGCTTTGAAATTGAGTCCATCATTTTTAAACACCCTGTAGGCTGCCAATAGGGAGATGATTGCTGCTGCTGTGTGCGTGTGTGGACAATCCCAAGAGTAATTTGTGGGCATTTTTTAAAATTGGAACCCTGACAACCGGCACGCAGTGGCCTACTCTCGCGAACATCGGGGGAATCTTTCATGCCCACTGTGAAGCCGACGGCGCGTCATATCACCAACGGTTACCGCACCCAGCAACATTAATCAGGGGCGGCCGCTGGATTTGAACCACGAACCAGCGCAACAAGCGGCGAACGCAAAACCGCTGGGCCGTGTCACGGTCCATGGATCAATGTCCTCTGAAGAAGGGCCCAATGACTCAAACGTCATCCCTTCAACTTTTCTTTTCCTTTTCACGGCCACGGTGTTATTGTCAAACGTGCCGAGTCTTATCTGGCCTTATAGGATAATTATAATCGACGTATAGCAACCACTCTAGAGCGAGCGTGGGGGGGGGGGGGTGCCGGCCACCCGTGGAGAGCCGAGAGCTCCGGTCGCTGCGAGCCTTCCCCTTGCTCGATTCTGGGAGCACACAACGGTGGGGTCAGCTGTAAGGTTTATTTCAAGAACACAAGGTTTAACCGCAAGCACAACCCAAACACCTGCATTGAAATGTGAACACGGTTTCACGTGCACTTGGTACAGAAAATCGTATTAACTATGGCACGTGTATATATATTTTGCATAGTTAACAGCTGCTTAAACAACCATATTGCATACAGATTTTTTTTTTTTACATACCAGCAATCAACACGGTCCCAATGCTCGAGTCCTTGAAAAGCGATGGACGGTACACCGCAGTGCTTTGGAGTAATAGAGGTGCCAACTGGGCACCCTGTGCGACACAGGACGTTGGTTAGCAGATGGATCGATCTCCTACGGCCGGCCTCCCCGCACGAGACACCGAGGTGGCACGGCACAGACAGCCGCCGCTGCAGACGGCAAGTGGGGAAACCAGACGCTTGCAGAGGAATCGGCCAAACAGGACCATCCATGGGAGGGGGCAGGCAACCAGCCACACACCTCGACTCGGAATAACCACCGGGACGTCGCGCCTGTAAATAATATAAATGATAAGCAGACAATGGCTCCTTTGCTCATCCGTCGGCGTGTAACAAAAATAAAAATCTTTACGCGGCCCGTCGGCCTTCCGGAAGGCTGTGGTGGGCAGATGAGTTTGCGCGAAAGAATGCTTGCACCGTGTTAATGTGGAGAGCACGAGATATATGGAAGGCATTGTCTGAACCTATTTTGTGAACGCCCGGATTACTAAAGCAAAAGATAACGAGGGCTCGTATTTAATAGACACGCGGTGTTGGAAACATTCCCCCCCTCCAGTATATCCGATTAGTGCGGCCCAAGATGTGAAGAAATCGCGGCCCGTGTGAAGCGGAGTCACGGGCCGTGTGAAGCAGAGTCATGGGGGCCGTGTGAAGAGAGGTCACGGACTGTTGAAGTAAAGCTGTGGGCCCGTATCTGGACCATGGGGTGTAGGCTCCCAATCCCAAAACTTGTCAACATGCTGCCAAGTGTGGCAATGATTATTCCGTGAATCAAATAAAAAGGGCACTCACCTCTCATCGTATCCATCACATTGTGCAATGGATACGTATCGAACATCCATCGTATTGTGCAAGCAAGAATCTAATATTTCAGAAAATCATGCGCTGAATTATTGTATGGAAATGTGACACTTATGTGAACGGAACTAATGAGGCAGATCTGGACAGAACACACGAGACGGGCAATACTAATGAGACCGTATAAACGAGATAAAAATAACTGATAAGAATAAAAATAACCGACTTTACCGGATTGAACTGTAACCCCATATCGTTAAAATTAATATCAACGATTAGGCATAAGGATGCGCACGACTGGGTCCGTGTATATGCCCCCCAACATTTCAAAGGGTCTCATGACATCACATTTCAATAATTCCAATGCTCAGCTGTCATTCTTGTTAAGCCTGGGGGGACGACGACACACCCCCCCCCTTATGACAGCTGTCCCAATAAAGCACCGAGTGGTCATTCCACGAGTTTTCAGATCTAAAACCACCAAACCTGCTGCCGTCTCTCCGCAACCAGTGTGAAAATGCACATTTTAAAATCGGCGGTTAATTTCCCTCCGAAATTCTCCGCAACACGTCTTATATTAATACACGAGCTTATATTTTTCAAGTATAGAGGATTTCACAGGCATCCTGCTACATGTTTTTTTTTTCTTTCTTTGTTCTTATAGACTAAATAATACCTAAATAAATTGTATGAAAATAAAAAAATGCGGAGCGCACTTATTAATAAAGAAAATCTCAGCCGAGTTTCCCCGCACCACCCCCCTCCCCCATCAGCCTCCGCAGATTTGGCAACTCGTTATAGGCCGATTTGCCACTTAACGGCTGCCATGGATGAAAGCAATCGGCGTGCAGCGGTGGGAGAGGTGGGGGGGGGGGATGGTGGGCACTCAAACCGCGTCGCGAGGCCCCCACCACGAAGCCCCCACCACGAAGCCCCGTCGCGAGGCCCTTGTGCGAGCGAACGTGTCAATCTCAAAACGTCGCCCTCCTCCTCCCCCCCCTTTTTTTTCTTCTTCGGTGCGTCGCATTTTTGGCAGAAACGGTGCCTACGATGCCTCTCCCTTCCTTCCTTCCTTCCTCCACCAACAAAAGGCAGCAGAACTCGGCAAAGGTGATGCGATTCGACCGCCCGGTTGAGGACGCCACGACGCAGCCATCGACGGCGCGTGCGGTTTTTTCGTCGGCTCAAGATGGGCGAAGGTTTCTTTTCCGGCCCCCCGCAACGCGGCTTTGTCCAGACTCGCAGCGGGGTGGCGCCGACGGTGCGTGTCCGCGTTGACCACGCTCGAGGCGGCGTCACAGATTAGAGCTGGCAAAGGTGGCACGCGCTGGGTAGCCTGGGATGACGCCGAATTGCCTGCCTCTCCGCCCGCGTGCATGCGCGTCTATGGAGGGGCGGCACCGCAGCGACAGCCCAAGTTTGATTTCCGGCCACGGATAACACCCGAACTGGTCCTGGGCCTCCGCTAGATTAAACACTGGGGAGACAAAGGCGGCCGGGTGCGGTTCCAGCAACACCACCCCCTTCTCACGCGCTGTGCCGTCCTTAATAGGTACTCGCCAACAGCACTTGCGCCCCCAACAGCCTGTCTGGGCTCCACGGGATATGTTTACGTCTCTATCCGTGTTGTCTCGGAGAGAGGGAGACGCTTTTCTGTGCCACGAGGTCTCCGTCCGTGCCAGCCTCAAAACCTCTCGGCGTGGCCTCCTCGGCCCCTGGAGTCGAGCGTCTGCTGGAAGAGGTTGCCCTGCGACTGCCTCCACTGCTGCAACTTCTTCCTCACCTTTTTCGTCTGCAACGTGAACAGCAGCGGCGGCAGCAGCAGCAGCAGCAGCAGCACGGGATTCGTTAACACCTCCACACGCACACACACAGCACAGAGACGGGACGGCGAGCCCGACCACCGCACCGCGCAGCCGGCCACGCATACAGAGGCTGCTGGGTGAAGTGCCGTCCTTGAGCTAAACATTTTTGAGTTGAAGTTTATTTGATTTGCTGCACGGATGATGGTGGTCCCGTTAAGCCGGTTTGCCCAGATGTATTTTACAAGGGAGATCTGTGTTGCTGCGCGAGCACAGCAACAAACCAAACAGGTAGACATCGACATCGCAGAGAAATAAGTAGAGGGTCCCTTAAGGCAGCGGTCCCCAACCAAGAAACCGGTTTCGTGGAAGACAAATTTTTCACGGACTGGGGGGGGGGGGGGTTCCATCATTGGGTCTTCCCCCCTTTTCAAAGAAGCTCTCCAGCGACGTTTGTTTTTTACTTATTGTGGCTACTAGGGGTTAGAGCTTGTGGGCTTTATACCAACACTGTGACTGAGACAAGTGCGCAGTGCGGGAAAAGAGGCGCGGAGGGAAGTGGTAAATAATAAAATAATGGGTGGGCCACGCGCGGACTCGCCGCTCACTTCCTGCTGTGCGGCCCGGTTCCTACAGGCCACGGACCGGTACCGGCCCGCGTCCCGGGGGTTGGGGACCCCTGCCTTAAGGGATATTGCACATGGCCTACGAGTGGTTTCTGCAGCTGCCACCTCACCTTTGTCTCCCCAGTGGCGATGTTTACACACCACACCAGGTACTCATTTAAGAGCCGAGTCGACCAAGCGGAAACCCAGTACCGGCTGGGAATTGAACTCGGGCCGCTGAGTTTGCAGCACAGCGTGCTAACCACTTCACGACCACTCCCCCCCCCCCCCCTAACCACTGCACCAGCGTGAACCACCGCACCCCACACACGCATATACGACGCAACGACGACAGTGGGAATCGAACTCGTGTCGCCGGGTTTGTAGCGCGAGACCGCACAGGCAGCAGGGGGGCGAGGGGTTGCGAGCGGAACGCCCCTCACCTTGCCCAGGTCAAACTCCTCGTCCCACTCGTCCGTGACGCGGTCGTGTCTGCACATCGCGATGTCGCGCTGCGCATCGCGGCTCACCAGGGACGGCTGCCCGTCCCACGAGAGCACTGCACCGCCAGCAGCACAGCCAACGCCACAATTATACCACACCAGCATGACCACAACAAAACGACCGCGATTAATACCATCAGCACCACCACAAAATGACCGTCATTAAATACCATAGCTAGCATTGCCACAACCGCGATTAATATCATCACCACAACAATCAACACCACCACCACCACCATCAATAGCACTACCACCACAATTACCAACACCACAATTACCAACACCACAATTACCACCACCAATAGCACTACCACTAGCACCTCCACACCATCATGGCCACCACCACAACATTCCGCAACAACAACAACTCTCGGACAAAGCCTCGATCCCTAAATCCACAGGTTGCACCGGCGACGAAACTCCAAAGACTCTGAAATAAAATAATAAATTCCCGACTTACCACCACAACAACCACGATTAAACACCGCTCGCGGTTATTGGGTGGCGAGCGCCGACTACCTGGGGTGCCGTACGCGCGGTCCGACGATCGGCGGAGGAGCTCCTCAAGCACGTCAGACCTCCGCGGGGCGACCGCCCTCTCGGGTTCCGCCAGGCCGCGGCGCTCACGAGTGTGTCTGTCCCACCGCACCGGCGCCACTGCACACGCGGCGGGGGGGGGGGGGGGCGACACGGGGCGACACGGGGCATGCGCGTTGCGGTGAATCGCCGGTGCCACTTTTGGGCAAGCGGACCGCAACCCTTTTTAAATTGGCGACGTCTTGCGGGTGGCCGGGCATCTTACGCGCAAAGGCCAGGTGCGCATAGGAGCACACAAGTCTGAGTTTACAGCAGGCGGTGAAGCGTTACAGTGGCACTCGGCGGTGAAATTCACCATCACGCCGCAGCCGCGCTACTGGTTTGACCTCTGCGACAAGTGGCGATGAAGTCAAACGTGCCCCCGATGAGCACGGTTGGCTACGTACGGTGCAAAAGAAGTTCAACATGCGTACACGCAAGCATCCTGCCACACCTCCGAATAAAGTAAAAAAAAATAAGTAAAGGATGCGTAAAGCCTAAAATCTAAGTTACACGCAACCCTTACGCAACCGGGAGAAGCCAGAAGGACAGGGCCAATGCGAATGGAAACGCGCGTGGACAATCACCATGTGCTCGCTCTGCCGCACTGGCCTGCCCGTTCATGAGTGCCGGCAGCTGCTCCTCCTGGCCTGCATCGGCCACCTCTTCCACCACCTCCTCCACCTTGGCGGCCCCACGCTCGTTGCCGCCCGCTTCTTCGGAGTGCCGCCGCTTCTTCTTTTTGATTTTAGGGGGCCCGGCGTCCGCCTCCGGGAAGTCTGCCTGCGTCCGCTCGGTGGCGTCAGGCCCGAGGAGCTCCTCCTGGTGGCGCCCTCTCTTGCGCCTCTTCGTCTCGTCGCGCGGTGCGGCGCCGGTGGCAGAACGCTCCTCCGAGTTGTGGAGCTCGCTGTGGAGAAGGAGACGAGGGTAAAGGTGCAGCCCCTGCAACTGCTCCGGTCACGCCACGGCCAGCAGAAGGGCCTCCACACCGGAGGAGGGGGGGGGGGGGCGACGCACGAGAGCTCCGCAAGTGGACGGAGGCTCTAGAGCCCCTGCCCTACAATAGAGGGTCGGTGTTTGGCCTACTCTTCCATGCTGGTCAAGACAGCTTGGGGGGGGTGGGGGGAAGAACGTTTCACGCGGGCCGGGGAAGCCCGACGGGCAAGAACACGGCTGTTGGTTTCTATTCACGTTGGAGCTCGGGCATTAAGAGGGAGGGGGGTTGGGTTTAGGCCAGGGGGCTAGGGTTTTTGTTTGCGAGGTTGAGTTAAAACTAAAATCAGTCATCGTTAGGCCTCCCCGGGCCGCTGCGTAGGTTTACTCACGTCACGGAGTCGTCGTTGTTGGAGGTCGTCACGACTTCCTCGGCCAGGGCGGATCCTTCCCGAGTCTCGGCTTCCCGCTTCGACTTCCGCTGCCTCTTCTTTTTGTGCCGTCTCTTCCCCTCCGCCCCGCTCTTCGGCTCCGAGCGCTCATCAGCAGCAACGGAGCTGAAAATAGACACACCGGGAGCAGCATCGTATATTAACTATTTTTTATTTGACCAGGAAAGGGCGCACTGAGCTATATGGCTATTTTTCAGAAGTGACCTGGCCACAAATGATACCTCAATGAAATGGCTTATCGCGTGTAAATTTATAGCAGCCAAATACTCTACACGCGCGTTGATTCTAATTGTGGAGTGAAAAATCGGAGGACTCGGAGGAAAAGCCACGCAATCACGAGGAGAGATGCAAAACTCCAAATATACTGTACAGGCGTCACGGTGGGGATGGAACCCACGACCTCCTGCATACCAGGTGAGGTAGTTAACATCTCGCCACTGTGGTGGGCACCCCCTCTGATTTCACCAACCAGCACTAACCAAATCGTGAAGCATGGTCAAACAACCCCCAAGACTAATCCAGTAAGAAAATGGATTAACCAAAGGCTGTGTGCTACAGTATTTTAAAAATTATTATTTGGAATGTGTAATAGTATTATTACACGGTGGTTATTTTCTCTATGCTATAAACCTGGAAACTTGAGGGTCAACGTCAAGTGATACCTCACCTTTCCATCAACTTGCAGTGACCAGCGTGGTGTTCAACAACAACCACCCGATGACCGACATACCGTGGGGGTGGGGTTGCAGGCCTTCAACCAACAGTGGATTGACAAGGTGGCTGTGGAATATTCATATTCTAAACACTCGTCACAACGGTAAAACGTCGACGTTTAGAAATTGAACTTACGCGTCTTGGCGTGACTCTACAGGCGTGCGCTTCCTCTTCTTCCCTCTCGCTCTACCGGCCATGTCGTCTCCCGTCTCCCCGGTCTCCGTACGTGGCGCAGCGCTGCTCTCTCCTCCGTCTCCGCCTTCTTCACCGCGGTGCTGGAGGCCGTCGTCGCGCTCCCTGTCGCGGTTTCGCTTCCGTTTCTTTCGTTTCCTGCGTTTGCCCGAGGCGGTGGATTCGGTCGTGCCCTCCTCCTCCTCCTCCTCCACCACCACCACCTCAGCCGCCACCGCCTTCTCAAGTTGCCCGATGCCCTCCAACCTCCCGCCTGCGCCGCAAGGCTTCTCCCTCGGTCCCGTGGTACTGCTGCGGTCGCTGTCACCACCGCCAGTGCTGACGTCTGTCGCCCCGGCCAATGTAGCCGAAGTCTCCGCCGGGGTGATATTCCTCTTGGTCAAACCGTCGCCCTGCTTGTGCTGCTGCTGTTGCTGGTTGTGTTTAATTTTGCCGTTCGCTTTCCCGAGCGCCGGAGCCTCGTGGCTTCCATTCGCCACGAGAGGTGACAGCAGTGGCGGCGGTAACGACGATGACTTGGCAGTTGCCACCCCTCCTCCTCCGCTGTGCGCGGTTCCGTTAGGTTTGGACAGAACATCTGATTTGATTTTCCCGGGCGGGGAACGGCACAAGGATGGGAACGCGGGGGTGATGTTCCAACCAGGGCTGAGAGGCGACGGCCTGGTGCAAAGGGGGAGGGAGGCAAGATGGAGTGAGTCTCTAATAGCTACACAACTTCAAACGGACGTTCAGTTGCATGTATGAATGCTGAGCTTCTTTCGCACCGTACATAGCCAACGGTGCTAATCGGATCATCTTCACAAGTGTTATCGTGCCCCCCACCACCCCCCCCCCCCACCCTTGGTTATGGGCAGATGGATGTGGTAATGTGGTTGAGTAGCGTTAGGAAGGCAGTGGAGCGCCGGTGAATGCGGGGAACCACCTGGAGGAGGGGGAGCGCACGGGGCTGCTTGAGACCGACCACTTTCCGACCGGCAACAACGACGGCATCGCCACCATGAGGGGCGGGGATAGCGGCAGGGAGGCCCCGTTCACGCGCCAGGCCGGGCGGCCCACCTGCAGAGTGGCCTGGGTGGGGGGGGGCGGGCGGTGCACAGGCAGGGGCATAAACGCACGCGCACGTACACACACAAGACAAGGGATCCACCGTGCGGCCTTTAACAGGCTGTTAGGCCAAGTGCCGTGAGCGAGTAGCACCTATGAAAGCCGGCATGGCACACGAGGGCGTGGGTGGCCAACACCACGCCCGGCCGCCTTTGCCTCCCTCGTGGCAATGTGTACACACTGCACCAGGTTCTCATTTGAGGCTGAGTCGAACTAGGGGAGGCCCAGAAACGGTTCAGATAATCGTCACCGGTGTTGGCCGTGAGCAGGAATCGAACTCGGGTGGCCGGGTTCGTAGTGGAGCGTGCTAACCGCTACGCCACCGCTCCCCACATATACACACGTCCACAAACACACGTAGCTACACAAACATCACAACGCATACACAAAGCCCTTGACACACACAAACAAAACACACCGACCCACTCCAAGCCTCGATACAGAAACACCGCAGTCACCTTCGGCGACACGAGGAAGAGCTTTCCGAGCAGAGGCCTGGGCTTGTGCGCATTCTTCATCGGACTGAGCGACAATTGCATGGCGGTCGTCTTTTCACCACTTGCGCTCGCCGCGTCCGAGTGGGCCCTTTGTCGGGCACTGCAGCCAGCTTGCTCCTCGGACGCCCCGACTGGGTCCTCGCTCTGCGCGCTCGCGAGGGCCCCGCCAACGCGGCCCGCGCCAACGCCGCCATCGCCGTCGCCTTGCCGCTCGGTGGCACCGACGATCGTCTTGCCCGCGCCGTTCTCGCTCGGCTCCGGAGACTTTTTATCGTCGGAGCCGTGGGTCTTCAGCTTTGGCTTGTCGGCCACCAGCGCCTCTTTGGGTAGCGGCTCCCGCGACGCTTTCCCCGCGCTCCCTCCGCCCTCCGCGGCCCCGTCGAGGCCCGATGGCGTGGGGCGTGGCGACACCGCCGCTGCGGTCCTCTCTCTGGGCGGCACGTCAGCGGCGGTGGCGTTGGCCGTGGCAGGCCGAGCTGGGGGTTTTGCCGGAGGAGGCGCGGAAACGGAGAGCCGCGGAGTATCGGCTGCGTCCGGCGCTTTGGGCTTCTTCGCGAAAATGTCGATGAACGCCGGAGCATTCGTCACTCTCGGCTGCCACCGGGCCGGGCCGAACGGCGCGGTGGACACGGTGGACGGGGCGGACGCCCCCGCGTTTGGGCCGCGTTGCACGGAAACTCCAAGCTGGTCCGGTCTTGCCACGATAACAGAGTCGAAATTCTGAAGCGGAAGGCGGGGCCAAGTTAACGGACGGAACAGTGGTAAACCCTCACTAGCTCGTTAACATTTAGCCAACCGATGACAACTCGTTGGCCGGTTACCGCTAAAGACGACCATTATCCCCTGGCCCTGGCTTTGGCCGTACACGCAAAGAGGTGACTCGGTGGCAAGAGTGCTTATAATATAAAAAACGTAGGTCTACAGGAAGCGATCACCAACACCAGAGAAGTGCAATCGCGGAAACACGTTTGTCCAACCTCGTCTATCGCGGCTGCCATTCGACGACTCGCGGAAGAGGACCGGTTTAAAAAGGGCACTGGTGCTGTATGAAAGAACCTCATGGAACATTCAAAAATATAACTCATCCACACCCCTCTGTCAAACAGTGCTGGGTGAAGGCCTCCCGGCGCTGTGCCAATCATGGGGTCGTCCGACCAAGGACCGGTTCTCAGTCCACCTTCACGCCACCGACATCGGTCGTAGCTGGGAATCGACCTCGGGTCACCAGATTCGAGACGCAGAGCGACAATCGCTACAGCGCCACCGCCGCCCCCCCACCCACCGCCGCCACTGCTACGTGCCAAAACACGCCGCTCGTCCGTACGTCTCAAAAATTAGCAACTCCTTCGACGGTGGCACGCTACCGATCGGTGGCCTCGCCGTGCTGAGCCAAGCTGCAGCCCGGACGGGCTGCTCCTGGCAATAGCGACAGGCGCAGCTTAAGACGGCATGCACAGGAGCGAAGAGGAGCGACGTGCGGACAATAGCAACAGTTCGTGTGTAAGCACGTATCGCGAACTGTACGTGTGCATCGGGTGTATTACATGTGCACTGTATATCGTACGTGTGTATCGTCAATTGTACGTGCGCACCGTGTGCCGTACATGTGTATCATGTGTATTGTTTCCATCGCGTATCGTATGTATCATGTGTGCTTCGTGTATCATACGTGTTTATCGAGTCCATAGTGTGTATCGTACATTTGTATCGTGCATTGCGTGTATCGTATGTGTTTATCATGTGTGCTTCGTGTATCATACGTGTTTATCGAGTGTATTACACACGTATCGTGGATCCTAAGTGTGTATCGTGTGTAGTATGTGTATCGTGTGTGCGTGTATGTACGTATATATAATAGGGTTGTGAAAATATTTTTTTCCTCTTAACTACGTGGAAAAGGATGTTAAAACTGGAAACCAGTTTGCCACACGTTCAGAAATGTCCGGCAATAAACACAACACAGTTACATTGGATAAAGGAGAAAAGAAAGGGAGCTGGCACAGTGGTGGTGTTGCGGTCAGCGCACTGGACTTGCCATCCGTCTCCTGGCGCGACAGTTTAGACATTGGGGGCGAGATTCTTAAATCCCCACCCCCTTCCCACGGCCCCTCCACCGCCTGTCCACACAGCAGTGCGAATGATGATATCCTTGGGACCCTTTTGCCGGCATCAACATGATAACAGACATTTAAGAGGCTTTCCCCTTTCTCGCAATAAAAAAAAGGTGTGTAAATGTTCAAACACCCAATAGACACCTATTGCAAGGCATCAAAGTCTACGAACGGCTTCAAGCAGGCTGCGCGTGGTGGGGTACGGTGTGGGTACGTGCACCTCTTCAAAGCCGTCCGGTGAGCATAGACCAAATACCCCCCCTGTAGAATTCGCTCCGGTGGAATCCATTTTCGCCAGCAGTGGCGCGAGCGATCGATTGCAGGGCAGCCGCCTTTTTAAACTTGTAACCGAGAAACGTCGGCAAACGAGCCGCGCGGTGACTCGGGCCGCCGTGCCGTTCGTAGGCACGCTCGCGCGGCCACTCGGCACATTCGTACCGGTTTCCAGACGCCGTTTGGGGACAAAAAAAAAACCCAGTAAACACATTCTGGAACCGGTTCGTACGCAAGTGCGTATGCATGCTGAACTTCTTTCGCACCGTACGTAGCCAACCGTGCTACCGGTGAACAACCCTAGTATATATGTGCATGAAAGCGTTGTTCTGGAGGCACTGGGGAAAGACGACGGGGACTCACGTGGACGCAATGCCAACGGCTCGTCTAGGATAGAAAGGCGAAGGAGGTCTACTGCTTGTGGTCCATGGACCCAGCATTGGATTTCATGAAGGCTGGAATGGAGGAGGAGAAGAAGGAGCAGCAGCAGAAGTGTGGCGCCACCTTGTGGAGCAGCGGTGGTCGCTGCGACGAGCCCGGTGGGGGGGCGCCGCTCGCTCGCGCGTCCTTGCCGCCGGCCCCACCGTGCTGCCCGGCCGCCAGGGCACGCGCGGGGGTCTCGTTTCCCCGGGGGGTAACCCCGCCATCATCCCCAGGCTTCTTGGCATCCTGGACCCTGCGTCCGTGTGCGTGCGTGATTGTGCGTGTGCGCGCCCGTGGGGCAGAGGGGGTGGGGGGCAGACCATTTAATCCAGCAGGGCACATTTTCACTTTGGCCCTGTGGGGTGATGGACACAGGAGACTTGCGGTATGGGGCGGCAGCGAGAGGGGAAGGCGCAGGATGGGGGCAGCAGTCGAAGGGGCAGCACTTGAAGAGAATGGCTCTGGGATTTAGGGGATCACACCGAGAGGTGAAGTTACTGAGAGGGCTCTGGCAGCACAAGGGAGGTAATGGCACTTCAAGGGGGCAGCACTCGGTAGCGGGGGAGGGGGGGGGGCAAGGACAGCAGGAGGGGCACTGGGAGGTGGTGGCAGTGAGAGGGGGCTACAAAGAGGAAAACGTTGCTCCGACAAGTGGCACTGGAAGAGAGCGGCACCTGAACAAAATGGCAATGGAGTTCATGGGGGCAGCACTGGGGTTTAGGGGGCGGCACTGAAAGGGGGCGGCATGCGGGGGAGGGGAGTAGCGTACCTGATGTAGAAGAGCACATAGGCCTGCTGGTTGAGCACCACCTTGATGTTGCTCAGGCTCACGTGGGAGTCGTTCATTTGGTACCACTGCCCGTTGCTCGCCTGCTCGGGAGGGGATGGTGTTGAACGGTGGGAGAACAACGCGGACCGAATAAAGCCGGCCTCTTAATAAACAAAGCGCACGTTAATCACAACCCTCAACGCGCCGTTCAAGGGCCCATGCGTCACGCACATCGCGCAAGTGTATGCGTGCGTGTCGTGCGTGTGCAACAGCAAGTGGGGAGCGGTCGTGTAGTGCTCATCGTGCTGCACTTTAAACCCAGCAGCCTGAGTTCGATTCCCACTCATGGGCCTGGGCCTCTCCTAGGTCAACTCGGCCTTAAATGAGTACCTGGTGGAGTATGCAACCATCAGCATCGGAGACAAAAACAGCCAGGGGAGTGACATTGCCCGCAAACCTGCCCCTCGTGCGCAGTTGCAAGCCTTAATAATAGGCGCTCGCTAACAGCACTTGGCCCACCAGTCTACACGGCTATTGGCTTGTGACCACGCAGGGGCAGCGACCGGTCGCCTCCCACCTTGATGTAGCAGTAGTAGTGCCCGGCGTAGCAGCTGTAGCCGGAGTGCACCAGCACGGCGTAGAGGCTGTAGTGGAGGGAAGCGCCGTTTGGGACCGACATGAACGGACGGAGGTTGAGCCGCTCGGGGTAGCTCACGTCCTGCGGGGCGACGGAGGCGCAGGGTGATGGGGGGGGTGTGGGCGATGTTAGCGTAACCTGTTCCACTCGCGAACGTTTCGTTTACATGTTACAATAATAATGCTGAGTTTGTGACGCACAGGTTTCGTTCAACCCCCCTTTGCGTGAGAGACAGAGAAGTGAGATTCAGAGCCGCGGGAGGGCCACAGGCAAGCGGAAAGGAGCGGCCAGGACTGGTGCCAACAATTGCCCAAGCTCTGTGGTCCTACGTTGATGTTTGGTCAGCTCCGTAAAAAAATCTACTGCCGAATCGGGAAGCAGTAAAAATCACGCGTGCGGATTATGCAAACACTTTCCGTCGCGTTTGTCCTCGGAATGATTTCATCGGCAATCAAATATTTAGCGATGAAGTTCTTCCATCAGGTAAATAATACGTATTTTTTAATAGCCTGGCTCACATGCGTTGTGCATGATAGGTGGCTTTGTTTTTACGCGGGGCATTGCCCCCCACTCATTTGTCTGTGGGCCATTGAGAGCTGATTGCACTCATGTGCAACGTTAAACATCATGGGACCTCCTTTGCCAGTATCAAAATATGATCATAGGTTTTTCCCCTTTTTTATGGCAACAAAACAGCTGTGTTAAGATGTTAAAACACCAAACTGAAACCTTTCACGAGGAATCATGTGTGCATTAACCACAATGCTTGTGGTCAGAATGCAAAAAAAAACTCTGATAATATATGCATTGCCCTGGAAACTGATTGGTCCACACCAGAGACAGCTTTCTTTTGAGCCTCGTCTCAAACGGTGTTAGACCAGAGGACGCCAAAAGGCGTGCACAGCCCAAAGCCAATGCTACTATCAGAGTAATGAGAGCTCGGGTAGAGCATCTACATCATGGGACCTCCCCTTTGCCAGTACCAAAAGATAATAATACAATCAACGCCTCTCCGATCGCTCTTCTTTCTCACCTCCAGTGGCCCCTTTCCCCATCAACCAGTTTGGCACAGGTGCTGCGGCTCGCCCCTCCGTGTGGTTTCCGCTTCACCTGGGCCGCCCCCCTTCCCACGCCATCACCCACCGGGGGATAACTACCAAGGTGACTCCACCGATAACGGAATTAAACAAGACCCAGGCGCCCGCGGAGTAGCTCCAAGGAGTTGGCCGCCTACGCACCTTGCTGATTTTCCCGCCGGAGAAGTTCGCGAAGCGTTTCATGGAGATGGTGAGGACCCTGGAAGCGCGGTGAATGGAAAACCTCTTGGAGGCCGGAACTTTCTTGTGGCAGCTGAGTTGAGACAGGAGGAGGGGGCAGTGGAGGCGAAGACAAATTTTGGTCATCATCATCGCCGTCACTGCGTTCAAAATTATCGCCATTATCATCGTCAATAAAGTCACCATCATCTACGTCGTCACTATAGTTCATAAAAATTGTCGGCGATCGTCGTCGTCGTCAAAATTATTATCGTCAATGTTATCGACAAGATCATCAATGCGATCACAGAGCATCAAAATCATCATCAATTATCATCGTTGTCATTATCGTGGTCATCATAACTGTGCACCAGTAGCGGCCGGTATTTGTGGGCCACTTGGGAAAAACCGAAAATGTACAAAAATGAACAATTATCTAAGCTGCACATCGTGTTTTTATATTTGTGAACAACGCACGCGTGCGTGCGTGCGTGCGACACCGCGCCAAGTTCGCTACTCTGGGGCCAGCCCCAGCTGACGGGGCCGCCCCCTGTCTTGGTGCGTGGACTCTCGCTCACCGGTGGCACATGTACGCGTTGTCTCCGGACAGCAAGTCGGGCCGGACAAAATGTTCGAGGGCTCGGACCACGTCACTCGAATGCTGGGGGAGGGGGGCAGGTTAGTGGGGGGGGGCAGAGACACATGGAGCAAAGGAAGCGATAATTATTCAGGAAGGTAGCTCAGGTCGGTGATCAATCAGACAGCTAATAAGTCATCGATTCATCAAATACCAATCTGAGTGCCTGTGACCAAGTTGCCTGGAATGTGCCCGATCCCATCAGAACAAGCAAGCCAAGCAATGCTGAAGGCACAGGACCAGACCAGACCGGTTCAAATATTCGTCACCGTTATCGATCGTGAGCGGAAATGTGGTTAGCGGAGTGCGCTAACTACTGCACGACCGCTCACCATGCCTAAGGAAGACACACACACACACTCGCGCGCATGTATAGTTCACCCTTAATGTGGCCGAGTTCATTGAACGCACCTTAATGTCCAGGGCGATATCCAGGTACGGGTCGTAAGTGTCCGAGACACCTTTGCAGACTGAACACTTCACTGCAGCGCAGGACAAGAGACACGAAACAGTGTCGGCAAATGCAAGAAGGCCGCATGTCCACAGTGCTGACCAGAGCCGGATTTCGGCCCAAATTCTAAGATCGGGCACCAGTGCCAGACTTCTGACCCAAAAGCGCTGACCCTCTGCAGGGGCGGAGGTGGCAAGGTTTTTTAATCATTCCGCTAGTTTACTTAGGAATGCTTCAATGAATTACTTGACTCTTTTTCAGGAGGGACCTTCCAAGTTTCCACAGCAGGAAGGCAACGATCGATGTAGGGATTCCAATTAAGTAACTCGCGGCAAATTTTTCAACTTTGGACTGTGACTTCGGCACGCAATGGCCTACTCTTGCGAATGACGTGAATGAATCTTTAACGTCCACTGTGAAGCAGATGGCGAGTAGTAATATTATTACGGTTAATTCACACCACAGTATTAACTAGGGCGGCCGCTGGATTCAAACCGTGGACCTCTGCAGCTACCGCTGGGCCACATTACCTGCCAAACGGTGCAAAATGGGCACCTTGCATTTCAGGACAGACGCAGATACGGCGCAGAGAAACAAGCGATGTTAAATGCGTGTGTGTGTGCGTGATCAACGCAGGTAAATGTCTTGACTTCTGACCTCTTGACCTTAAGTAACCTCCGAAGATTTGATGGACCAGTGTGGTGGCCTGGCTCTGCCTGTCCAGCCTATAAAAATATCACACAAAATAAAATAAACATCAACACAGCAGAAACTGCAAGATGTGAGTTACAAAAAAAACATTGGAGGAAGCTAACGATAATTTTAAATTGAAATTCAGTCGGCAGAAACTGGTGAATGAGTGTGACAATATATTTGGTTTCATAACGAATGTCAACTGCAGCCCGACGTCAATTCACTGTTGGATTAAGGCCTCCCCGTGTGTGTGCCAAAAAAGAGAATCACTCTTAGAGTATTGCTGTGTGCCATCACAACCATGACAATTGTGATTATATTATGGCACGCACGACAATACACCAGTTTAGATCTTCCACGGAAACAACAGTCAGCGCTGAGCCAGATCCGCACAATCCACAGATTACGTTGATACCCGGTGCACATGTGGAGAATCAAAGGCTCTCTCCTGTTTCTGTGTGCAACTTCCGCTACAAACTCCAAACTGTGGACCACGTGACCTTGCGCTGCCCCTAATGTACACGTGAAGGTGATGGGTGGGTGAGTAGATGATCAGTGGGTGAGCAGTGGGTGAGCATATCTACAATTTACCAATTCTCGGACAAGGCACTAGAATGGCTGAATCCACCACAAGTGAATCTCTTGACAGGTGATCTCCATAGGCCATACAAAGAAGAAGTTGGCCTTTTTGCAGTGTTGGTAAAGGGCATCATTATTGTTTTGCGGTGTGTGCAACTAGAGGGCATCATCATACTATGAGAAAAAAAGTTTTGCTGGCTGTTGTGCGGTCGCGCAAGTGCGCCGCGGTGGTGCAGTCAAAAGGCAAATCCGTGTGGTGAAATCACCTACATCCCACAGCGCTCAGAATCATAATCTTCATTTATACTGGAGGAATCCGATGAGCCACAAATCTCTTTTTAGAGATATCCAGTAAGCGGTAAGCCGGATTCTTGCATCATGTTGACGTCTGTAAGTCTCCCCCTACCCCACCCTCCACTCCTCGGCCATGTATTGTGTAGCGCTGCGTGGTAGCAGAGGGCATTATCGCACACGCTCCGGTATTGCTGCGCGAGGCGAGGGCTCTCACTTGGTGTGCCCACTCAGGCAGGCTTTCTGCATGGCGTCCACGGTGTAGCGCAGGAACTCGTGGGCGTCCTCCTGGCTGCCGAAGCGGAAGTGTCGCGCGATTCCTTCGGTGGCGGAGGGCGGGGGGGGGGGAAACAAAGAAATTCACGCGCAAGACACCGCGGCGGGCGTCAACAAAACCACGATGCGCGCCGCCGCCCGTCCCAACCGCGTTGCCGAGACGAGTCGTGAAAAACCGCTTGCATGGAGACACGAGCGTAGTGGGGGGGGGGGAGGGGTGCTGCCACACTGGGATTGTAGTGCAGTGGTCGCCGGTTCGATTTCACATCGCGGCGCCGGCGGTTAAATAAATGAGCGTTTATTAAACCCCACCCCCCATACCTCCCCCCCTCCACCGCCTCTGTCTATCCAGCAGTATACGTGGGTGCACACCACATCGAGGAGTCGATCGGCAGGTCACGTGTGCCGGGGTAAAATGTGGGTAGTCCCATTTATTCCAAGGCGTCTAGGCCAGCGTGGAAAAGTAGAGTGGAGGTAAAGCGGGGTGTGAGATGTGGGGGTAGGGGGTTGCACACTCACTCTTGAGGTCATTGATCACAGAGAGGGGCTTGATGGCACTGCCGGGGTTGGAGAAAGTCTTCACCAGGTGATTCTGCATGATGCACAGCATGCAAAACCCGCTCTGCGTGCCTGTACGCGCAAATACGCACACACACAGATAAAGATCACCCCTATAGCCTTAAAATACAGTTGGGGCAAGTGCTGTTAAACAATGTCGAAAGACAGGACGGCACACAAGGAGGTGGGCGGCTAGCACCCCTTTGTGTGCCATGCTGGCCTTCATCGGTGCTCAGTAGCAGCGCTTTCCCAACAATCTGTTAAGGCTAAAGCGGGGGATCTTTGTCGTTGTGTTTCCCGAGTGCACGCGGCTCACTCACAGGCGCGCGTGTGTTCGCGCGACATCAGGTAGTTGGCAAGCGGGGGCGTATAGGCGAGGCACTGGAGCGTGGAGTTCAGGAAGCACGTGTTGCCCAGGTTGTGCAGGCCCGCGCCCACCCGTTGCACCCGCTCCCAGGTCAGCACCAGCCTCTCCGCCGCAAACAGCACCTTCTGGGGGGCTGGGATCCCATCTTGGGGAGGGCCTGGACCAGTGCTTCCGCCACTGCCGCCTGCCGGGTTAGAACACCATGCCGAACAACACGCAGCACGACCTGAACACACGTCAGAGAGCTGCACTATACAACAACAACAAAAAACCTACAGAGTTGCAATGAACATATCCTCGAGATCGGGAGCTCTCTAGTCTCATTTGCACTGACAGGCAGTGGCTCAGGGTGGGGGGTGATGCTAAGGCATTAGCTGATGGGTGACTGGTGACAGAATGATATTAGCCATGGTCACTAAGTCCATAGCAGTGTGGGGTAACCACTGTACCACCACTCATCAATAAAAATTACAATTTTAAGTTCTGCGATCCGCAGTGCAAATCGACCCCCGTCGTTCCACACTGCCACTAGGCAAATTTCACATCGCGGCAAGTTACTGCTGCACCTTGGCCCCACTCTCTCAAGACTTTTTTCCGGCAATCACCGCTGCCATCGCCACTGTCTGCACCAGGGAGAGTTGCCCCTACCTGACGGCGGGATGCTTGTGCTGCTGACGCCCGGCCAGGAAGCCGACGGCGCGATGGCGGCGTCCCCTCGGCGCCCGAGCGGTTTGTACTTGAGTCTCAGCGCCGCCAGACGGGAGCTTGCGTCACCGCTCGAAGCTGCCGGAACGAACTCCAACCGCGAGCGGAGAACCTGGGAGGCCGAGGCGGCCAGCAGCCGGTCCAGGTCCGGTTCGGCACTTTCATTGGCACTGCCACTGTCCGTGCCGGTGCTCGCCCGTCGCCCCTTGTTAGACCAGAGGTCGCCGCCACCACCGCTGCCGCCACCCGGCCTCAGGGTCGCGTTGAGACGCTCCACAATGGCCATTGTCACGAAGCTTGGACCTGAGAAGAGCAGTCGGGTTCATTTCAGCCGGGGTCTGTCTGGGTCTGGGGTTGGCGAACTGCAGCTCCGGAGCCGCATGTGGCTCTTTACGGACGGCTTCGTGGCTCCCGTCACTATAATTGGAATGTAAAAAAAACATCCTAATTATTTGAGATAAACGGTGAACGTCTAAAAGCCCAAAAACGATTTGTCATGCGATATTACAAATCATTGTGCACGTGCTCTTCTTAAAATAGTGATTACAAAAAATATGCTTTGATGTTATTCATTGAGAACCGTCCTGTATTCACATTCTACTACAGTCTTACCAGCGGCCTGGGAGATATTCAGTGAGGAAATTAAGCCTTGGCGTGGACCACCGCACCATCGCTAACAAACCTCAAAATCGTGAAACGTCGTCTCAAGAAAAAATGCAAACCCGTCAACCCCTTTTCAGTGCCTACCTTATTACAGACCAATTCAGATGTTATTGGTCACCCCGTCGCCTTATAAATCTCAACGTTCATCCTACAAAGTCCCATCACAAGGAAGAGACACAAAGAAGTAGAAAAATTTACATATTTATTTTTGCCCTCATCGAAACGGCTGTACGCCGTATGGACCTAAAAAACACATTTCCCCGTACAAGAATACAGTAAAACCTTGGATTGCGAGTAACTTGGTCTGCGAGTGTTTTGCAAGACGAGCAATTTTTTTTTAAAATAAATATTAATTTGATAAACGAGCGAGGTCTTGCAATACAAGTAGTACGTGCACGCTTTGTCTGCCGAGCGTCACATGATCACAACCGATATACGAGTGCTTTGATATACGAGTGCTTTGGATTACAAATACGTTTCCGGAACGAATTATGCTCGCAATCCAAGGTTTTACTGTACAGGTAAACCGTATGGGTTGACAGGTATGAAAATGTCACGAGACTATTTAGAGCATCACCACACGCACAGGGTGCTCAACACACACACACCTGCAAACTGCTCCTCGATCTGCATGTCCTGTTTCGCCAGATGCGTTGCTCGTCGCTTTTGCAAAGCATTGCTCGGGAAATGCAAAGTGTTGCTTGATCCAACAAGAACATCGTTAAGTTGACAATGCGCTGGAGAAGAGAATATGAATGAAAAACTATTTTTTTTATTATACCATGGCCCACTGAGCTATATGTAGCTCTTTTTTTCCTAAGCAACCTGGCTACACATGATAGCCCAATTAAGTGGCTTATCATGTCGAAATGTATAGCAGCCGAAGAGTCTAAATGCACGTTTCTCAATGCGGAGGGAAAAACCGGAGAAAAATGCACACAACCACGGGTACAGATACACGCAAAATTCAAACATACAGCAGGCATCGTCAGGGTCGGGATCGAACCCACGATCTCCTGTATACCAGGCGAGGTAGTTAACATCTCCTAGCCACCGTGACGATGAGAGAGACACCGCAAACTCCAAATATACAGCAAGCACCGTCAGGGTCGGGATCGAACCCACGACTTCCTGTATACCAGGCGAGGTAATTAACATCTCCTAGCCACCATGGTGATGATGATGAGAAAGAGACACCGCAAACTACAAATATACAGCAGCAGGCGTCAGGGTCGGGATCGAACCCACTAACCTCCTGTATACCAGGCGAGGTAGTTAACATCTCCTAGCCACCGTGATGATGAGAGAGACACCGCAAACACCAAATATACAGCAAGCACCGTCAGGATCGGGATCGAACCCACGACCTCCTGTATACCAAGCGAGGTAGTTAACATCTCCTAGCCACCGTGATGATGAGAGAGACACCACAAACACCAAATATACAGCAGGCACCGTCAGGGTCGGGATCGAACCCACAACCTCCTGTATACCAGGCGAGGTATGATGATAAAGAGAGACACCGCGAACTCCAAATATACAGCAGGCACCATCAGGGTCGGGATCGAACCCACGACCTCCTGTATACCAGGCGAGGTAGTTAACATCTCCTAGCCACCATGGTGATGATGAGAAAGAGAGACACCGCAAACTACAAATATACAGCAGCAGGCGTCAGGGTCGGGATCGAACCCACTAACCTCCTGTATACCAGGCGAGGTAGTTAACATCTCCTAGCCACCGTGATGATGAGAGACACCACAAACACCAAATATACAGCAGGCACCGTCAGGGTCGGGATCGAACCCACGACCTCCTGTATACCAGGCGAGGTAGTTAACATCTCCTAGCCACCGTGATGATGATGATGAGAGACACCACAAACACCAAATATACAGCAGGCACCGTCAGGGTCGGGATCGAACCCACGACCTCCTGTATACCAGACGAGGTAGTTAACATCTCCTAGCCACCGTGATGATGATGATAAAGAGAGACACCGCGAACTCCAAATATACAGCAGGCACCATCAGGGTCGGGATCGAACCCACGACCTCCTGTATACCAGGCGAGGCAGTTAACATCTCCTAGCCACCGTGATGATGATGATAAAGAGAAACACCGCGAACTCCAAATATACAGCAGGCACCATCAGGGTCGGGATCGAACCCACGACCTCCTGTATACCAGGCGAGGTAGTTAACATCTCCTAGCCACCGTGGTTCTGGCATGGTCCACACGGTGCTGTGTCACCATGGCAGCCTGGCCCAGTCGTGCAAATCACGGAGTTCAAATTCCGGTTCACTTTCCCTTCCATGCTGAAATCTTAAAGGAGGCGAGCCAAACCTGGAAGCAGTTGGTGACAGTCACGGCATAAGGTATATTATATAAACACTGCCTTAATATTCAATACATTCACGCGCGTATTATTAAATTCGTATGATGCGTTGTACGTGTTTTAATGTAGCTTTCCGCGTTGTGCTTTTGCACAACGCGGAATGTGTTCTCGGTTTTCGTGTAGGTCTCAAAATAAGAGACTCTTTGTGTTAAGGTGCTCGTCGTAATAATCATCATCAATGATCGATCCACTGCTGGTTGAAGGCCTCACCTAAGGCGTTTCCCACCTCGCGATCCTGTGATGTAACAAAAAATCCATCCATATAACCTGCACGCGAGTATGCCGTGATAGTACAAGTATTGCTATAGTTTATCGTGTTTAATTGTGTTATATCGACAATATCTTTCACGAACCCGTTGTACCTATTCTTGATTCTTTCGGTAAAGTCACGTAGAAGGGAAATAATACAAATAAAACATAATACAATAAAATTCTCACGACGTTTCGGCCACAACGCAAGCAGCCGTCCTCGGGTGAAGATACAAAGCTGTCAGAAAGACAACTGTACCTATTGTCCACGATTACCAGCAACGTATTTCACGTCGGCGGTTCATTAGGGTTACAACGAACGAGTGCTGTAAATGTATTGCCGAAAAATCTAAACACGCCAGCACTCAAAACTTGACGACAAAACAACAAATAATGAGGGCGACGTTCGGAACTCCTGGACGTGTTTGAAGGGGTTCACGTTCAAAGTTAAATAAGTCACGGCAAGTGCCACCGATAAGCACCACCATCACCACCACCATCATCATCATCACAACCTTCCATCATCACTCTCTCTCTTCTCTCTTTCTCTCTCTGGAGAAACGGCGATCTCCACGATAATCACTCCGGCCACCACCGTATGGTGCAGCGAGACCAATTCTTCTGATGCAATCTGATCACGAGAAACCCATCTGGACACAAACAGCCTTGCCCACTCCCCCCCCCCCCCACATCTATACTCAATGTAGGCCACACAAACCCCATGCAGACTCATACGGAGCTAGCTCGCTTTGCAGACCCGAGACAACATTCGCAAGCAACTTGAACTCGAGCAAACTCCGCCTCGTGCCGAATCAGAACCCCCGTCTATAACCGAAACACACCGAAGCAGACCCATCCCGACACCAACCAGGCATCATCCATCATTATCATCAACCCACTGATGAAGGCCTCCCTCCCCCCAAACAGTCGTTACCCTCTCATGGTCCCGCTGTACACCGGGGCAGCTGTACACGTGGTCATTTCATCGCTCCATCTCCGCGGGGCACGTAGCCCCTCATCGACACCCGACCGAATCCCCATCGATCCAGACCCTGGTAACACCCCAACTGAACCCATCCACACCTCGTCAACAAACCAACCAGGGCACCCAACAGACTAATAACGTCCAGACTCTAATCCGTACCCAACGAAATCCCATCCAGATTCGAACCAGATCCATCTCGACCACCATCCACACCCAACCAGACCCCACCACTCACCCCCCCTAGCAGCCCGCAACCGAAAACGTGGACTGCAACACCCCAAAACCCTCCCCGGCGCCTCTCACCGTAGCCAACGCTGGCCCAAGGCCTTGACTTGAAGACCTAAACCAGCCCGACGACGAGGAGGTCGAGAAGGAGACGAGGTGGGACGAGAAGAGGTGAAGAAGAGGAGTTGTGGTGGGGATGGGGTTGGTGGTGGAGGCCGAGGCGAGGGAATGCTTCCCACGCGCGCGCCTCCCGCCCACGAGGTCTCGTCAGAGGAGTCGGTGGAGCACGCGGGCGGCCATCTTACCTGGGGGTGGTGGTGGGGAGGGGGGACGTGAAGCCGCCCAAGCACAGCACTCGCCCGCCCCCCCCTATGACGTTGATTCGTCCTCGTGGTTGTGACGTCATCCGGGGTGACGGGGAGGGGCCGCGCAAACCCAGCGGCGTTGTCCACGCACCCCCACCTCACGTAAGATGGCCGCCCTCGGAGAGGGGAGTGATTGTGGACCGGCGTGACGTGGCGCACGTGCTACGGATATCCGGCTTGATGGGTGGGGAGGGAGGGGTGGGGGTGGGTGAGGGGTCGGGTGGGGGTCAAGGGAGGGCAGTCGGTTGGGGGTCGGGTGAGGGGTCGGGTGAAGGGGGTGTCGGGTGGGGGGGGGGTCGGGTGGGGGGGGGTTGGGTGAGGGGTCGGGTGAGAGGTCGAGGGGGGGTGATCGGGTGGGGGGGGGTCGGGTGAGAGGTCGGGTGGGGGGGTGATCGGGTGGGAGGGGGGTTGGGTGGGGGGTCGGGTGGGGAGTCGGGTGGGGGGGTGATCGGGTGGGGGGGGTTGGGTGGGGGGTCGAGGGGGGGAGTTGGATAGGGGGGGTAGGGGGTGGGGCGGGCGCCCCGCCACCCGCTCGCACGATATTATTTCTCAATTGTATTTTACGATATAACGATTATCACGATATCGACATTATCGCTATATAAACATTATCGCTATATAACGATTATCGCGATGCATGCCGTAATTGTACTTTTACTCGACACACACGGCGTGAATTACAGCATTACTTTGAACTGAAACTATTACATTTCGATTTAAAGCTTTCGTGACTGCAGGGATTCATATTCTTGGTTCTTTCGGTAAAGTCACCACGTTAGAAGGGAAATAATAAAATGTTAATTAAACAATAACAGATTTTCTTGCTGATGATGATTGCTTGTGTTGCAATGCAAACGTCGTGAGAATTTTATTGTTTTATCTTATTTATTTTGTTATTTCCCTTCTACGTTACTTTACCGAAAGAACCAAGAATATGAAACTTATTAACTTCGTGAATATTTTGTCACGAAGTTCACGACCGTAATTTAAAAATGGTTGTAAAAAATAAATAAATCTAAACTCTAAAAATCAACGAAACTTAAATTTTGCAAAAAAAAAAACCCATACAACGACGTTTCTGGCTGTCCGCCTGGTGATGCTATTTGTAATTACTGGCGAAACGTCGTACCCAAATTGTTAATGTTGTCGACTTGCTCTCCAACATACCCGTGTGCTGTTACTAGTAAGGGTCCGTCCATAAATGACGTCATGCACCTGGGGGGGAGGGGGGGGGTCAGACATTTGTGACGATGTGTGACGAGGGGGGTGGGGGTGTTTGAGAAATGTGACGTCACATCAAAATGCGCAACTTTAAATAAATAAAGACAACACGTTCTAACTTAATTAAATAGACTTTTTAATAAATGTTTTCTCCTACAACATCAGGGTGCAGCGCCACATTAAATACGCACTACAATGACAATAGTTTAAAGAGATTTGAAGCATGTTTGATTTTTTTTGGGGGGGGGGGGCAGAGCTTTGTGACGTCATATTTGGGGGGGGGGGGGTATGACTTTTTTTGACGCCGTGTGACGAAGAAGGGGAGGGGGTCAAAAATCGTCCAAAATCGCATGACGTCACTTATGGACGTTCTTGACTTCTGTTCACGTAACAAACCTCACTAATTAGCTGTGTCGGTTGGTGGCGGGTTTAACGACACATTTATATTAACCTCTCAGTTATGGATGATGCAATTGTCCTTGGGGAATCTTTAAGATGTTTTTCTTGTTCGTGTTTTTTTGTTTGTTGTGGTTGCACCAGATTCAAGAGCCGAAATGTCTCACAGGGCTATATCAAAATAAATAAAACTGAAATCTGATATCGTGCGATATATCGTACGATATATCGATATATTGTCGTATCGTACGATACGCTATATACGCTATATATCGACGATATATCGACGATATATATATCGACGATATATATCGTATTGTACGATATATCGTATCGTACGATACGACGATATATCGTATTGTATATATCGTATCGTGCAATATATCGTATCGTGCGATATATCGTATCGTGCGATATATCGTATCGTGCGATATATCGTATCGCGCGATATATCGTATCGCGCAATATGTCGTATCGCGCGGTATATCGTATCGTGCGATATATCGTATCGTGCGATATATCGTATCGTGCGATATATCGTATCGTGCGATATATCGTATCGTGCGATATATCGTATCGCGCGATATATCGTATCGCGCGATATATCGTATCGTGCGATATATCGTATCGCGCGATATATCGTATCGCGCGATATATCGTGTCGCGCGATATATCGTATCGCGCGATATATCGTATCGCGCGATATATCGTATCGCGCGATATATCGTATCGCGCGATATATCGTATCGCGCGATATATCGTATCGCGCGATATATCGTCGCGTATCGTCATCACCGGCAACCCTACTACCCACAACCCCGCGCGGCGACAACATGGCCACCCCCATGCCACGCTGCTAATCCGCGTGAGTGTCCTCCTCAGCCTCCTCCTCATCATCATTCCTCATCTTCAAGTCTAAACACCTCGTTGGCTCCTCGCCTCATCGCGCAAAGGCGAGAGAGGCGATTGACGAGGCTGGGGCGGCTTGAGAGGGAACTCGTAGTCTCATCCTGCGTGAGGACCTCCCTGACCTTTGGCTCGCTCGCCAGAAGCCGGCGTAACATTTTGCGACTCGCAGCTTCTTGAGTGTCATACTCGTCAATGGTAATAATAGTCTTAATAGTAATTATAATGCGACGGCTTGGGAGAGAGACCTTCATCCAGCAGTGGATTGATGGTTGTTGGTGGCGGCAGGCATTTTTGTCAAGTCAAACTGCCGGGTGTATGATGATGATTCACGCCGCGCATAGCCCGTGGCGGGCGTTGTTTGACCATACTTCACCTCGCTGGTGCCGAGGGTTGGCGAAGGCGTCGGGGGTGGGAGACCCCCACTACCGGTCCAGTACCTACTTGCTCTCCCTTAAAATAAATTACTTTGGCGATACCGCTTTGCCAGTGGTGCACAATTAACAAACAACATACAACAACAAAACACAACGCGTACGTCATTAACACAGCCTTATAAGGAACGTATGTAATTATTTGCACACCTGTTTTACGTGCTCTGAAGAAGGGCCATTGCCCAAAACGTCGCCTGTGATATGATTCCTAATCGGTCGGTGTTACTGTACAGCAATGTACTGCGGTACTTTCTGTACTGCCATCTAGTGGTGGCCTGACCGCCTCCGTCGGGATTGTGCGATAAATCCGCAGTGTCTGGAGTCAAACCATCCGCGTAAGAGGAGGGTTGACTCTCAAAACTCTCACCGTACACACTTGAGCCACTTAGAAACAACCTACTTACTATACCAGAGCACATTTCCTATGATTACTGTTGCTACATTGTGTTTGTTTTTTTACAGCTTTATTTTGTTGATTTCGAAAACACATGGTTAAGCCGTGTTTCTTACGGAAGTGCGGAGTAGGCCTGATCACTTTAATCTAAATTGTCTTATGGGTGTTGTTGTTTGACTTGCATCACACTGGGATTTTTAGCACACAGCGTTGTAATACGGCGGGTGCAAGATTTTCTGGTTTATCCAGGATGTTTCTATTGCGCATCGTCGCTTTAAGATGTTCTCTGTTTTGATTTAAAGCTTTCGTGACTGCAGAATATGTTCTCTGTTCTTTGGTTCTTTCGGTAAAGTCACGTAGAATGAGAATAAAATAATAAAATAAAACATTACAATTCTCACGACGTTTCGGCCACAACACAAGTGGCCTTCTTCAGTTGAAAGGAACAAACCTGTCGGGACGACAGAGCTGGTAACCAGCTTAAAAGACGCTGTGAATCTTAGCAGCGTTCATTGTAGCTCTGTCGTCCCGACAGGTTTGTTCCTTTCACCTGAAGAAGGCCACTTGTGTTGTGGCCGAAACGTCGTGAGAATTTTATTTTATTATTTTATTCTCATTCTACGTGACTTTACCGAAAGAACCAAAGAAGATGAATCCTTGCAGTCACGAAAGCTTTAAATCGAAATAAAATGTTCTCTGTTCACATTTGGTTTGTTGCGGTTGCACTCGACTCAAGAACCGCATGACTCACAGGGCTATACCTAATAAATGAAACTTGAAATTACCAGAAACGTTCCCTGTTATCTTTTCCAGTGAACGCCACGGTGTTCTTGACGAATGAATTGCGGTTTTTGTAATTTATTTTTGTGCACTGGCCAACGTAGTATCACCAAATAATGTGTTTTATTTATTATACCACCACCTACAGACACCACTACCTCGCTGCACCTCCGTGATGTCAGATTATCGCTACTGCACAAATGACGGGTTTATCCCAGTGTGATATATATAAAAACACTTGCATTGCACAAATGAATGGCCCGCTATTTACAGTGATACACTTATAGATACCCCACTGATTTCTTCCGAGCGCATTTATTCTCAACACGGGACTGAACTTTGTCAAATCAGTTGCTCCGTATCTTACAGAAGAGAGTGTTAAAATACGTGTGTTAGTCTATTGATATTGGTGGGAGACATGGGCACCTGGAAGTTAATGTTTTTTCTCTAGTTTCGTAAGTACGATCATTTATAATTTGCAAAGGGTAATTTTGTTGTTGTGTGTGGAAACCATAGACAAGCAGGAAGCCCGAGCTGCCCTAGCTCTGGTCCTAAGATTTCTAATAAATGTTTCTTATTTCTTTAAGTGGTATCTATGTCAATGTTTACATACTCTGCCGTGTGGTGGGTACAAGGGGGCAGTGCGGTAAATAAATTGTGCTGTAAAGTTCTCTGCTCCCCGCCTTCACAAACCCACACTGACCAACATGAGTGAAGTACGGTCAAATATTGTACATGGGGTGTGGAGTAGTGGTGCAGTGACTTATGCACCATGCCATTATCCTGACCACCTGAATTCGATTCTCGGCCACGACTAACATCAGTGGCAGGTGATATCTGGACGAGTCCTGCCTCCACCCCTTGTTCAACCCCGCACGATGCAGCGCGGTGACACGGAGGGACGTGTCTGTATGCCCCCTCAGGACTGAGCTGCTCGTGTTGATGAGGCCGAGTAGGGGTTTACCACGTCGCCATTGACGATGATGAGTTACACACGGGGGCTGTCGTCCCTGCTCGCTGGGATCTGGACCCGCACCGCTTCAGCCGTGACAGGGCCCGTGGGGGTCCCTTCACGTCACCGCACGGGGCCCCATGTACGTGAGTCACAGTGTGAGAGGGTATTTTTGACCCCTGTCGAATTCTGACCCTGGCGTCAGAAGTCTATGATTTATTAAAACCCTTTTCCTGCTGTGGCAGATTAACACCCCTGCCAATATGGGTCATTATTCTCTTCACATACTTGTAAGTACACTGGGAGCTAATCTATTTTGCGCTGTAATATTGACAAAAGCCAATTTGAAGAGGGTTGCAAGAACCCTTGGATAGGCACCCAAACCCAAACCCCTACACTAGCCACAACCCTAAATCATTCTTACCTTGGGGGAAGTGAGGGGTGGTGGAGTCCTTGTTCTTCTACATTTTTTACCACAGGGGTCCAAATAATGAACTTGGGGCCTGCTATGAATCAACTATCCCTTCAATACTTTACAGTAGTTAGCCAAGTCAGCAACTCGACAAATAATCGACACCGTGGGACTCTCTTTTGATCGTGCCCGTGTCCGTTAGGCTGCCACCGTCGTGGTCGTCACCTGCAGGAGCGTGTTCATCGGCCGCGCAGCGCTGCAGAGGCACCGGCTCTCCAGGGCGCAGCCTGACGCAGACAGCTCGAGCGCCGGCAGCAGAGTCACAAGCGACGAAGCTCACCAACGGCTGCAGCAACAGCAACGGCAACATGAGAAGCAGCAGCAGCAGCAGGAGGAGGAGAAGAGTCAGCAGGAGGAAGAGCAGCAGCAGAAGCAGGCTCAAAATCAGCAGCAACAGCAGGAGCATCAGGAGCTTGCGATGAAGCAGCAGCAGAAGAAATATTTTTGGAGCAAAGAGTCGACGGCGGTAGGCGAACTCGCAAACAATCCTACGAATGGCTGAGCGGGTGATTTGAGTGGGTAGACTGACGGATGATAACAGAATTGTGTGAGCGGCTGAGTGTTCGTGTCCTCGAAGGCAAAGATACCTAACTTCGGCCTTGCTGTTAGGCTGCATCGCTCCCGTGCCAAAGCCCCACATCCTACATCCATCACTTTTTTTCCCCCCCTTGCGTCGCCGCCTTTTCTCTCCACAGGGCCGCGCCGACACCGATACCTCCGCTACCTCTCTCACCATCTACGAGCACCGTTTTGCTGAGGCGGCTGCGGCAGGGCATAGCAGCCGCACCAAGGCGGCGTTCATGAGCGTCATCGAGTCGTTCTGCCGGGACGACCCGCGCCGCCGCGGCCACGTGGACTTCGTGTACGCGGCGCTGCGGTGCATGCGCGACTACGGCGTGCACCACGACATCGCCGTCTACAACCGCCTGCTCGACGTCATCCCCAAGGGGGTGTTCGTGCCGCGCAACGTGATCCAGCGCACGTTCAACCACTACCCGCGCCAGCAGCAGTGCGGCATCGCCGTGCTCGAGCAGATGGAGAACTATGGTGAGAGTCGGCGGCGGCGACGTTGCGTGCGCGAGCGCGAGCGCGGTCGCTTATCTGTCCGCTCGCTTGCTTGTCCGTTCATCTGATCGCCAATCAATAGATTTTTCCCGCTCACAAATTTGCTCGCCTATTTGTCTGCTTGCCTGATCGTCGATTCGTCGGTTTGCCTGCTTGCTCCTTAGCCTCATCATCCGTCAGCCTGCCCACCTGCTGACTTGCCCGCTTAACCAGACGCTCACCTACATACTCGTTTAATTCCCAACCCTGAGAATTAAAAGTATTTGTTCGACTGTCATGTGATGAATATTACTCCCATAAGGCAGCTCTGTGATATCTGCGCGGTCGCTTATCTGTCCACTCGCTTGCTTGTCCGTTCATCTGATCGCCAATCAATAGATTTTTCCCGCTCACAAATTTGCTCGCCTATTTGTCTGCTTGCCTGATCATCGATTCGTCGGTTTGCCTGCTTGCTCCTTAGCCTCATCATCCGTCAGCCTGCCCACCTGCTGACTTGCCCGCTTAACCAGACGCTCACCTACATACTCGTTTAATTCCCAACCCTGAGAATTAAAAGTATTTGTTCGACTGTCATGTGATGAATATTACTCCCATAAGGCAGCTCTGTGATATCTGCGCGGTCGCTTATCTGTCCGCTCGCTTGCTTGTCCGTTCATCTGATCGCCAATCAATAGATTTTTCCCGCTCACAAATTTGCTCGCCTATTTGTCTGCTTGCCTGATCGTCGATTCGTCGGTTTGCCTGCTTGCTCCTTAGCCTCATCATCCATCAGCCTGCCCACCTGCTCACTTGCCCGCTTAACCAGACGCTCACCTACATACTCGTTTAATTCCCAACCCTGAGAATTAAAAGTATTTGTTCGACTATCATGTGATGAATATTACTCCCATAAGGCAGCTCTGTGATATCTGCTTCCACACGCGAAGGGTTGTACAACACTGCGAGAGAGCTGAGTGGATACTTCATCTCGTAACGAGATATTGATAGCACAGTTGGAGAATAATTGGGGAAAATATCAGAAGGAAAAAAATAATAAATCTAATTCAAATATCTTAACCGATGGATAATTCCATGCCTACAAACTTTGCACCCACCACATCCCCCCAATGGATTCCCCTGACCCCCTCCTCCCCCCCCCCCAGGCCTGATGCCTGACAAGGAGACACGGTCGCTGCTCATCCAGATCTACGGGCAGCTGAGCCACCCATACCGCAAGTACCGCCGCATCCTCTACTGGTTCCCACGCATGAAGCACGTGAACCCGTACCCTGTGCCCGTGACGCTGCCCAGCGACCCGGTCACCCTCGCCTCGCTCGCACTCACGCGCATGGCCGACGACCTCGACGCCAAGGTCACCGTCTACCAGGCAAGGATGCCGCCCGGTCACCCACCCGCTCACCCTTTTTGAAAGCTCTGCTTGATAGGATGTTTGCTCGATTCCTCGTTGGCTTGCTCATGTGATTGCTCGTGAGCTTCTTTGCATGCTCACCCGATCGACTTTCACACTCGCTCGCTCGTTTGCGAGCTTGTTTACATGCTCATGTGACTGCTCGCATGCACATTTTCAGATTCACTGGATTCATTTAACACATTTCGCTTGCGAGCTCACTTGATTGCATGCTTGCTCGTTTGCAGAGAAACGCTCAGCACAACATCTTGGAGGGGGCAAATAGTTAAAATATAGATCGGTGGTGAGAGAGATAAGTGCCACTTTTTCCCCCACCAATCCACCCCACATACTTGATATACCGCTGCTTATATAGTCGCTCCCTCTCTTGCGCATGTGCTCGGTTATAAGCGCGTACACTCATTCGCTCACTCATTTGCTTGCTCACTTGCTCGAGGCCATACAATGTGAATTAAATGTTCACAGTACACTGCGCTGCTATGTTACGTTGTACCCAACTGAAAAGTGGCTAAATCGATCAAAGGGTTTGCCCAAAACTTGCAGACAAAAATAACTTGGAGAAAAATGAACCATTTGCTAATATGCAATCACATTTTACCCTGCCAGCTCCGAACAAATCGGCTTCCGTATTGCCAATTAAATAGTTCCTCACACGGTGGAAAGCGATCCAACGTACGTGCACATGCTTGGTGATTTCTGTCTTGTTTAAATACGGCTTATGTTAATTTCCGTTGCAACCGTCTGCCCCGCAGAGTTCCTACAATGATGTCACGGAAGACGGCCGTGACGTGACCAAGCCCTACATCGTCGGTAAGGCGCTGATGTATCCTGTAGGTCATGGCTGGGGAACCGTACGGCCCACGGGCCAGACATGGCCCATGACTTGGTTTAATTCTTCCCACGGCCACATGAAGCCTAGCACTTCGAAATATCCTGGAAATGTTACTTATGTATCAACTGCGATCATCTCATCAGGTTGTAGAGGGGAAATTTGACAATCCTACAACAACGTGGCAACCTTGAAATGTACGTCCTTGCGTACACGCTTGTACATTGTGTGTTCATATGTACGGGCACGTGTGTGCAGGCATCCAGAGCCCCGATCAGCAGGAGTTGCTGTCGCGGCACCGCCCCGAGCGGCCCGTGTACGTGGAGGGGCCGTCGCGCCTGTGGCTGCGTGACGCCAACGTCTCCTACTACGTGCTCCGCGGTGACCCCCTCGCACCCCACGAGAAGGTGCTAGCGGTCTCGCATCTTGCGCCCCTTCCCCCCCTTCTAATGAGCCACCGCCTCGCTGTGTTGCTCGTTAGCGTCGCTCAACCCCAACCGATCACGGATGCGGTTGGGGCGGCTGCACGGTTCTAAATAAAAACGACGATCTTGTTCGGAGGCTGCTGCGGAGACACGTCGCGGTTCTTATGTCCGTGGGTTAAAAAAAAAATCGATCCTTAGGCTAGCGATACGTGCATCGAGTCGTACCAACGAATCGATTACTGAGAGGTGACCGGGTGGTTCGGAGGTCAGAGACACTGAGCAGGAATCACTCAGGTGCATGGTTTTAAAATCCGTGTCTCGGTCACTGCCCGTGATCAGCACGGGTTCGTGAGTGTAGCGAGTCAAAGGTCTCAGCCCGTTCACCAGTGACTGCACTGTGTCCCCAGAACCCCCCCATCGACCCCGAGCGGAGCCTCTACTACCCCCTGCAGCTTGACCTTGACCTGACCCTCGACCTCTCCGATGACTTTTCCTTCGATGTCAAGGAGGGTGAGTGGTTGCCTGCCGGTTACTGTCGCCACACTACCGTCAGCCTGAGCCCTCTCCGCTCAAACACCTGACCACCGCCTCCCCCATTGTCTGCACCACCCCCCATGTGGTTCATCTCGCCGTATTTTTGCTTGTCGGGCGGTGGCAGTGAGCGGGTTTTTTTGAGCGGGTGAGCGAGCGGGCAAGTAAGCATCTGCCCCGTGTGTCTCCCGCAGTGGAGGAGGGCCCCGTGTTTGCCATGTGCATGGTGGGGCGTGGTGACCAGGCCACACTAGGGCACTGGCTCTCGGGCCTGCAGCTCTCCAATCCTGTGTTGGGCCGCACGCCCATCATATTCCGTCTGGAGAGCACGCCCAGCGACCTCGTGCCAGGCGGTGTGAGCCACGGGGGACGAGGGAACGGCAGCGAAGGGGGTCCCGGTGAAGAGCGGACAAAGTGACGCCGAGGGTCGGAGGAGGTGAGGTCATCTTATGTTACGATGCGGAGGAAAGTTAAAGGACGGTTGTTAAGATCGCGGCTCTCTTGGTTGAGCAGCAGCGATGGCCGTGGTGGCAACGTGCAAAATGCTAAGTCCACTGGCAGGTGGATTAGCGCCAACCGAGGTGGAATTTACATTCGTGCAGAGTTTTCCCAAAGCCAGTCCTCGCGAGATTTCAAGGGCGATCCAGCGGACTCCGGGAATGTGTCGTTGGCATTGCATGTGCAACACCAGTTTTCAAATTGCCGGTGCACACATGCACACACTGTCTCGAAGTGTGCGCAGCTTAATTAACACCCGGCGGGAGTTTTGGGGTTTATTTAAAATGTTCTTTATTTTGGGTAATGTTCAGGATTGCTCTGAATTCTGGCTTGCTTGTGTCCGACTTTTTAGAAGTTTTACTGAATCCATTTGTTGTTTGTGCAGCCTCATCTCGAGAGCCTCCGCACGGCAGCCGCTACCGATCGGTCATGGCCGACGGCACTGTAAAGAGGAGGGAGAACTTCTTAGTGGTGGCTGACGGAGGCATTCGGCCACATGGTGTCGCCAGCACCACCACTGCGCTTGCCACGTGGTTGTTTACCACCCACCGGGTCGCCCTGCCCCCGTGACACCTGCGCGGTGGCGCCGCGCTCTGCGCTGGCACCTGCCACCACCGCTGCCGCCTCCTGTTGCAAGATTTGCGATGCCCCTGGTTGGAAGGGGGTTTTGGAGGTCCCGCGCGGCTGGCGACGTGGGCTGGTGGTGGCATTATCGTACGTGTGGGCCTGTAAAGCCGCAGATGAGCCAGCTTGCTCAAGGGGGTGACTACGGTGAAATGAAATAAAATAAAAACAAAAAAGAATGTAAGCTTACTCTTTGGGTCTTTCGGTAAAGTCACGTAGACAGGTTAAAAGAAAATAGCAAAAAACTACGACGTTTCGATCGCAACACAAGCGTTCGTCATCAGGAGGAGGGGGAGACAACCGCTAAAAAACGACTGCACAACCGAGTTGTGCCGGGGCTGTGCCGTGCCAATCCAGCTCAGCGCGAACCAAGAGGCCACTGAGTTGTGTTACCACCGCAGAAGTCTTGAGTAGTGCCGCCGAAGTCGAGGCGCACGTGGGCGGCGCCGTGACGTTGCGTTTAAGTTGTCACAAACGATGATGACATCAATATGCCCATGTGGCATCGGGTGATGTCACTTTTGTGACGATGAAGACGCGTTCATTTATTCCGTATTGGTGATCTGAACGAGATCCAAATTTGTCCCTAAAAATCCAGAACGTTTTACTTTAACTCAACCCTTGGAGATAGTCGAACAGAACTGCATGGGTTATGTGTTCCTTTCAACAATTAAGTAGAACCTTGCACACAATAGGACAATGAGCCAGATTGTTACAGGGTTGTATTTTAGTTTTACATCAACCCTAAATAGATTGTTGGCTCGTGAGTGTAAAAATATAATTTTAATCTAAATTAAAATGTATTTGAAACCTCTACCCATTGCTGGTTGGTCTGCTTGTTTGTAACGTTTGGTTGTAATGTGATTGTACAGACGCTAGTTATGGGCGTTACACCAGTGTGAATTTCCACCGCGCATATTTCCGTCACTTCACGGTGCAGGAGAATCCCAGAGTCTTCCGACCCATTACGTCACAATCGATAACGATTATAACGCACTTGTCAGTTGAGCATGGAACCGTTGAATAAATTCCTCAAACAACCAAAAACTAAACTTTTTATTTTACCAGGCAAGGCCCACTGAGCTATATAGCTCTTTTTTTTTTAGAAGCGACCTAGCCACAAATGATCGCTCAATTAAGTGGCTTATCATGTAGACATAGCATCCAAATCCTCTTAAACGCATGTTTCTAATGTGGGAAAAAAAAAAACCGTAGAAAAATCCATGCGACCACGGGGAGAAGGTGCTAACTCCAAATCTACAGGCGTCAGGGTTGGGATCGAACCCCCTTCTGTATACCAGGCGAGGTAGTTAAAATTTTGTCACCGTGGTATCCTAAAAACTACTTAAAACGATGCGATGATAAATTCTCGAGTGATGCTTCGTACTCCACGCGGCTGCGCGGGAACGCATCTTGCTGCCGTTAGTGACGTTGCTGTCGTGACAGGGACACATGGGAGCGTCTGATTGGACGGCCAGCGGAAAGCGGGTGAAGCCGATGTTTTCCCGCCAAAACCACAAGGAGGCTACGCCCCACCCCCCCTGCCCCGCTCTGTAATTGGTCAAATGCAAACATGTGATCGGTTTTTCAAGACTTTTTTTATTGATCGCAAGCAACTCAAATGCAACGGTTGTGATAATCGTGATAATTACTCGAGGTATATTTTAACCCGCAAAATAATTTGTCTTGATGGCAACAAGAAAGTTAAGGCACATGCTCAGGCAGCTCTCTATATTTTAAAAATGGCGATTAAGTTATTGCTATACAGTATTTGAAGAAGGAATCACCGCCGTATAAACAAGTAGCACGGTAAATGAAAATGCTCGTCAAGTGCAAATGTTAAACCTGTCCTGAAGCCACCACTTGAATACATCTTATTCCACCAGACAAAAAACAACCCGGCTCAGGAGGCGACACATTGTTTTTCCAGCGCAGAAAGCTTGGCTGTGACGATGTCACGCACAACCTTCCAGAATTGAGATGGCTGTAGTGACGCTTAGGCCTCAGTCTACTGACTGACGTCACAAGCGATTGAATGCGTCATTTTCCCCGCCCCTGGCCCTGCTTGGCCCGGGACAGATTCAGATGCATTCTTGTGAGGCCCGGGTATCAGAGTTTGCTTCTGGCTGGACACGACAAATAGCCAGTGGGAAAAAAACACCCGTACAATTCTGGCTGCTGTCCTGGCACAGCGGCGGATGTGGCAATGGAAAATTGGGCAAATTGTCACTGCTTTTAAATATCAATATATAAATAAAAAAAATCAACCACAATAAAACGATTATTCATCTAGATATTAAATGCTGTATTTGCACACCTGAGTTCTCAAACAGCGTTAACTACTCGGCTCATCAAAACGAGAGTTGCTACCTTGGGACATGTGAAGAGTATTTCTCAACACCGTAAATGCATTGTATTAAGTGGTGGTTCATTATTATTATTTGGCAAATGACAAAAAAACGGGACTTTTAAATGTCCTGGGATGACTTAAAAGAATATCCCATAACAGCAGCTACCTCCTCAACAAGAGGAAGTTCTTGGGAAAACCCGGACAGTTGGCAACCCTAGCCACAATCCACGATTTTGGCTGGTCAGTGCTCGTCAAGCAGTGGAACCAAGATGGTGGAGGCTTTGAATGATCACAATTACAAAAATAAATATATTAGTTGATTACACGCGCGCTACATTCAATACAATATGCATCGTGCGATTAACTGCAATGTGCAATTATGAAGAATGCTATCTTTTACGCGTAAAATTGCTATGCAATACTGTACTTGTCTTCAATAGGTGCATCGAGTAATCATGACTGCTTTAAGCGTTCAATCAAACATTGTAGACCACCGAGGTAATTACTGCCAGGCACTGACCCAGAGTGTCGAGGTATGGTCAAACAACCCTCACGACCGGAGTGGGTAGGCCTTTGTCACAGAGGGCTTAGCAATCACTGGCCCTGTTCACGTAAATTATAGCAAACATTTTTCACATAAAACGAGGCTGAAAATGGTTGACTTCTAAAAATGTCGATATATCACAGCCCTCCTCCTGGAGGACGTTACAAGCATCTTAGCTTGCGCTAATCACGTAGTGGAGGGGAATAGTCGCAGCCTGGCAATGAGTCTGCGTTTATAATATTAGCGCCACGCTCAGTTGCTTCTGTCACTACAAGGGCCTTAATGTGGTGAATGGGGTGTTTGTGTTCATGTGTGTTAATGTTTGGTGGGGAGCGGTAGTGTTGCGTTTAGCGTCCTGTGCTACGAACCCAGAGACCCGAGCTCAATTCCCGCTCGCAGCCAATATCAGTGATGATTTTCTGAACCCATACTGGGCCTCGCCTAGGTTGATAAAGCCCCAAATGAGTACCTGGTGTAGTGTGCAAACATCGCCACTGGGGAGAAAAAAGGCGGCGAGGGCGTGGTGTTGGCCACCCACCCCCCCCCCCCCGTGTACCGTGCCAGCCTTCAATAGATGCTCGCTAACAACGCTTGCTCCAATGGTCTTTCAATGCTCTACGGGGGATCTTAGTCGTTTTTTGTGTGTGTAATGTTTGGTTGCCTGCCAAAGGTATTCGAAAGTCCTATTCGGATGCCCTCGGTCTGGGAGAAAGTTTCCCCACCCCTGCTCAAGGTGGCATTGCGTCTCACGCTGCCACTAGGCAACGAACTTCATGTTGTACACGGGGAGGGCGCGGGGCCCGCCAGCGAACAGCCGGGCCGCTCACCAGCCACCCTTCCTTGTGCGGGGCCGTCGCCAAAATCCTCCGACCACGAGAGCCTGGTGTCCGGAGACTCGGTGATGAGGCAAAGTGAAGGCAGGACGAAGCGGAGCCGAGGAGGACGGTGGCTCGGGCGATGGGGCCGCCCCCCCCCACCCCCGACGCTCAGAAGGAGCTTACGCCGGTAAGCCTGCGGATCTGCTCGAAGGTGATCCAGAAGGTGAGGGACCAGGGGGCCTGCACACACGCGGCAGTTGAACGAACGCAATACGCATTAACGAACGTGTATGTAAGTATGTAAAACTTCCCCCGCACGGTACGTAGGCAACCGCGATAAACGGAGGACGCGGGGGAAGGACGACAAACTGAACGCAAAAAGCGGCTCTAAATAAGATTTCAAAATGGATAGCTCCAAGTGGCTTCCTAATCGGAAGGGAAGATCGTTCCAGACGGCCGCAGATGCGCATGTCAAAGCTCGCGATGCGGTGACCGCCTTTGTTGGATGGTTAGCCAAAAGGTGCTGCGAGGATGACCGGGAATTCGCGTGATGGTTTATGCTCCTTGACGATATCAGCCAAGGTGTTGTGGTTAATTTGTGGAAAGCATCTGGTGTGTGATGAGTGCGACCTCATAAACACATTCCTGCGGAGGGAGCTGGTAGGGACGTTGGGTTGCTCGGTCAATGGCCAGGGTCAACGGCGGCACCACGTGGTGTATTCCGCAAATATGCCTGACTGAGGGCGGGCACATGCCGGCGTAAGTAGGTTAAATGTTGAGTTTTATAAGGGCACCACGGGGTGACCAGCCCCTCCCCACCCAGCCCCACCCCTCCCACCCCCCACCCAGCCCCACCCTCCCCACCCAGCCCCTCCCCACCCTCTCCTCCCCACCCTCTCCTCCCCACCCAGCCCCACCCTCCCCACCCAGCCCTTCCCCACCCTCCCCTCTCCACCCAGCCACACCCCTCCCATTTTTGGATGCACGACGGACGGACGGACACAATAATCCCCTGTGGGCTGGTGGTGTAACCAGGAGGTTCCTACCAGTATAAAGTGCTCTTGCACTTGCTCCAATTAAGCGCCTTCCAACCAGAGTAAAGAAGTTAAGTTCGCCTGTCTTCCCCGGACACGCTTTAAGACTGTTCGGGCAATAACATGACTCGACTGGAGGTGTCACACGACGGTCCGGTGCAGGGGCCGGCAACTCAAAATAACAAGAGACATTTTTTTTGTCGAATTCGGTAAAAACACCACTCAATATTTCAAGAGCCGCGATGCACTGTCTGGTGAATATGAGACGGTGGTTGTCCTTAATAAACAACCTCACCAAGTTGCAGTCCTTCAAGAGCCGCACACGGATCCGGAGCCACAGGTTGCCGACCCCTGGTCCAGTGGTAGTGCGTTGCAGTGGTCTGCGGTTCGAATCCGGTAGGCTGCCCTGGTTATTATCGCAGTGTGCGTATTAACCTTCCACTGATTCTCAATGGACTGGATGTTAAAGATCCCTTGGCGTCGTTGGTAAGGGTGGGCCATTTGTGTGCCGGCGTCGTGGTCCATACCCACGAAATACGAACCACACCGTAAATTATTCAAATTGGAATTTACACCTGGCAATGACCGCCCCCCTGTCACTACTAATAAACTCACGCCAGTCGCGTAACGAGCTTGGGAGCAGGGGGTGCCTTGGCCCCTGCCTGGTGGCCAAAGCTACGAGTTTGGGGCCTATGGGACAACCACCATGAGATATGTTTTCAATAAGAGTGTGAAAGAACAAAAACTTACGTAATGATGTGATTAGGCAAGAAGAACCACGAATCAAATATTGGGGCCCCACCTGACCGATTGCCGCACACCCTGAGCTGAGATGCGCTCGCTCTAAGGCGCTTCCTAGTGTGCCGAGGGCATCACAAGCGGGCTCCCCGGAGCCACAGGTGCGGGGAATGCGATGATTACCATGCGTGCCCACGTGGGCAGGAAGCCCTTGTAGAGGGCTACGAAGCCTTCAGCCCTCACCGTCTGCGTGAGGCAGTCGAGGGAGGAACGGTAGAGGACTCCCCTGCACGCACACAGAGGCAAGTGGCCATTCGCCGGTGCTACTCGCC